GTAAACGTATTATGAAGATCATACTTCGATTGATTTATGATATAAGATAATGGTATCTTAATTCCATGATAAGTATTAGTTCTGTAACAAATTAGGTAGGCTGTCAAAATCTTGAGTACATCATGTAACACCTTATCATTAAAACAATTATTAAGAGCAACCTTTGGACAAATACTTTTGATATCTGCTAGATCCAAAACTAATTTGAATACTTTGGTTCTGCTTTCCTAAGGAGTAATCTAAAAATAAAAGTAAGTGTGCTCTCCGTTTTCCTAATCTAAATAAAACTTATTGAATTTATAAACTTCACATTCCACAAATACTTTACCAATATTGCTGACTCTACTCTATGCATTGAATGTTTTCCTAAAAAAATAAGTATTCATAAAGTATCTCAAACGACTTGATGAAATTAAAGTTAATTTTAATTGTTATTTGAAATAATAAAAGAGGATTGTTTGTTTCAAAAGTCTTTGATTTTCATTGCTAATAAACTACAAAGGATCTGAGATGTACATTAATAAGAATTAATCTAGAGCACTGTATTTATCTCTATTCCTCTCTTCCAAGCTAATTTAATACCTTTTGAATTATAATGCCTTTCCTATTAATCGATGCTAAATTTTTGATTGGGACCTAATTTGATAACCTATTAATTAAGACTTATTGAAAATGTGTAATATCTTTTCAATATCTTGAAGTTGATGTACTGTTCTATAATATGTTAATCTTTGATTTGGATAGTATAGTCTAATTTTAATCTATAACTTTTTTAGTCCAATAAATTCATGCATATTCTTTTTCAGAATAATCAAATCTTGTTTGGCTTGTTGATCGCTTAAATACAATAATTTAGTATCAAAAACTTTAGTTTCCTTAAAACAAACCTCAACCCTGAAATATGAATTAGTGTCCTTGAAATAGAATTTATTTTTAATAATTTTGAATTTGCTTCTATAATTTTTAAATGATTTCCCATCTAACACTTATTCTTCATAATTTTCTTAATTAGGCTCAGTTACAATGGAGAGGCGTGAACCTTCTTCAGTCTCAGTCTGATACACTTTTTAATCAATAACTAAAGAGGCCATCTTCTCTGAATAAATTAAACTATTTATATCAGTCAAGGGTAACAATTGGCCAGCCTATAATTCTTGATATATCTCATTGTATATGAATTCTTCATAGTGATTAATTCTTTTTACATATCTATCCAATAAAATCAAAGTATGTCTGTAATCATACTTTAACAATTATTATATTAAGGATAATTTCTGTTATTTTTCTACATAGGTTAACTTATTGATAATCTCAAGTTTTTATCTTCTATTAGGTAATCTCATACCAAAATCAAATTTTATTTCTTTTTTGCTTATACTGCCATCTTAATTGTTTATAACAAGGAAGGCTTTGGATTCTTATATTAAAATATATCCAATAAATAAAGTGTTTTCTTGCTTAAAGATAAGATTAAGTGCCACATAATTATCTGGATATTCATTAATATATTCCTCCGGTTCTGGTTAGATGATAATACCTTTAGGGGGAAAGTAAGGTTCCATATTCAAATTAGTATTAAATTTAATGAGAGGACCTTCCTTTGGTTGATAGTCTTAGTAGTCATCCAAATTCGCTAATTGAAATTCAGAGAAGTACTCTTGAACCAATTGAACTTCAGTTTATGATCTATCCTTATATTCTTACGGATCTTCTAAGCTTTTTTTAGATTAAGGTGGCTCGAAAGCCTCTTTTTATTATTATCTTCTAGCAAATTCAGATAGGTGGTTACCCACTTTAGGAGCCATACTATTTCTGATTAATGCTTATGAAGACACAATGGGTGCATTTCTAGGACTAATCATGGTATTTCTATTATTGATGGTTGTATTTTGTTTTTTCGGATGTCTTAAAGGAGTTTCCCGAACCTAAGGAGGTTCCCGAACTTAATCTCTTTCGGAGCTATTTTCATTTGATTTCAAATTGATAGAAGGCCTTTTTTAATCTGATTCAGAAATATTTTATTGTGAGGCTTCAGATTTGTTATCATCGGATTCTTAAATGACAATGCTTTATTCATGGATAAATTCATCAGCATAGACTTATTGTCTTCGTTATGTTGATTAAATGACAACAGGTTGTTCTTATTGATGATGTTCGATTAATTTGATAGGTTCATTTTTAAATTGTTTGAGAATCATGATTCTCTTTATTTCTTTTTCAATCTTTTTATTTCTATAACACTTGGTACTATCAATTATTTAATCTAGTAATTTCTTATTGATAGCATCTTTCATGGACACCAATTTATAGCCAACCACTGATCTTATAAGGTAGTAATGATTTTTAAGAGCATACATTAATTTTCCAATGATCTGTTAAGCAAAATCGCTTTTTAAGAAGACAATAGTTTTACAGTTGTTTGGTTCATATAGATTCTATTACTTGCAGTATATACTGAGGAGACCATTGAAATTTTCTAAACGATCTTTGGAAAACCATCTCTGATATTCATCTAGATAACTAAAAAAATTATTGATTTTGAAATTCACATTAAATTACTATTCATCATTTTGCAATTAGAAGTAGACTATCAATTACAATGCAATAATAGATTGTTAGTCAGTAAAGATATTCATTATATGTTGCAGTTGATGTCCTAAGATAATAAGGATGAAAATACTTAATTGTGAAGGAGTATTAGCAAATGATATCTGCTCATCCTCATCAGTTTATGTGCTTGCATATCCACTGTCACTAAATGCACATATTGATATGTTGGATAATTTCCATATTTTGATTTCATCATCGAAGAATAGTTTACCCAAGAAGTACATCTCTTATTCTGGGAGATTATAAAAATCAACAATTATTTAAATTAGCTAGTAATTTAAATTATATTTTACTGTTTTAGCTTTGTTTGTACTAATTTGTTCAGCCTCATTGTTTTTGATTTCTCTAACAATCTAATCGAATCTTCCTCCCTTCCTGATGGAATTCTTGAGTTCCTTTACTGAGACTTTCATAGCGGTTCTATTGCTTTAATTGCTTTCTAATTTATCATTGAAAGCTGTTTGACTTTGTGGTTTTTATGTTGCCATTGGAGTTAACTCAATAGTTTGAGTAGTTTTAATTTTGCGTATGGTTGATTTATACTTTCTAAAATATTGTTAAATTATTTTAGCAGCCAAGTTCAGTTATTCAATTGAATATTTATTCAATAGGTCATAGAAGGGTTTCTCACTTTACTCAGTGATTTCAGTTTACATATGCTATATTTGAGGGATCATAACCTGTTATGAAGGAGATTGTTGTTATTGGGCCAACACTGATTCAGTAGTGGGTACTCTCAATTCATCCAATTGCTGTTGCATATTCAAATCTTGAACTGTTTACATTTTGGGTAATTTCTGCTCACTCTGTTAAGTGTCAGATTTGTTATGTAACATTTGTGTATTCTATTTGTTTAACATTCTAGGTATAAGTCTATTTGATTTTATTTTCTTCTTATTTGAGGTAATCTATTCATTTTGATCTCCCTATTTGTTGGTCTTCTTTTTCAACTGATGATGTTCTGACTTAAATTGTGGTCTCATAAGCATCATCTCATCAATAGGTTCTGTTTTGAGTTAAGCTTCCTACAATTGTACTCTAAATTTCAAATACACTATACTTCAATTTATCCATATAATTCTCATTCATTAGACTGGTTCTTTGAGAATGTGCAGCCAAGGACAATCTAGGAGAAAACAATTTATCCTATGGGAGTAAGGACTAGTTCATATAAGTTGATGCTGCTCTGGATGATAGTTTCTTATTCTTGATTTGAAACGCCTTCTCCTGTTGCTATTAATATTCGTCGATCTATTATTAATTAGAAATAGTCTTCAGTTTCTCTTCATATTCTTATCTGACTTTCTTAACATACTCAGGCATCTGATATTTGGTGGAATGTGACGACAACTATCTTACAATTTGTTGATAGGATTTCACTTGTGTCTACATATGATGCTATTAATATTAGATCTATATGTAATACATCGAAATTTTTGTTTGGTTTTAGCGTTACTACTTTACGTAGCAACTCCTAACCAACATCCTTTTAGAGATCGGCTTTGAATTGCTGGAAATCTACTTTCTCTTGTCCCATAATCATCTCGAATTCCATCTTTTAACTTAGTTTTTCATATTTGTCTCTAGCTTTCATAGTAGCTGGAGCATCTGGTCCAAATATCAATTCCTGAATTTGCCAAGCCTTGTATAGATTTCTTAGGGATTCCCTTTCAAATCCAACCTTGAATTAAGACTTACCTATATAATAGAATGCTCTCGCCAACATCATAAACCATTTCTTATATTCTTAATGAAACTCCTCTTTTGTCAAAGTTCGCAATGAATCGAATGTAATTCCCAATCTTTACAAAATGTCAACCAATTTATTACATTAATCTAACATGTCATCTTTGCGATGCATCATTCTACAAACTTCACTGCCATGAAAAAGTAATTATGCATACAATTTTAATACTTACTTATCATCTTCACATATATTGACTCGTTTCGTATAAGAGAATTTCTCCATGAAAGGCAAGACTTCTCTTAAATTCATCCAAGCTTTTTAATATTGTCCCTATTATTCAAATAATTAAGAGATCTAGAGGATGGCATGGCCTCTTGACTTCACAAAAGTATTTGTGTAAAATATCCCGCTTGTTATTGAGATTGGCGTGGTGATCTACAGACTCTAATCATTCCAATACCTCTTTCGCTCTATTAAAAAACATTTCTGCCTATGTACTATTTCCCTATTTCAAAAGCAGTCTTCCATCTTTGATCAATGTATTGGCAAATTCAACAGCTGCATTAACCACAAGTGGAGACTCCCAACCATTCTAAGACAGTGTCTGCAAATAAGACCGTTCTAATCTCTACAGATTCAACAATTATCCTGATTACATATTTAATTAAATGAGAAACTCATCAAATTTGATTATAATTATATATCAATTATCTTCTTTCGATTTAATTACTATTCTAATATTTTGTTTTTTTTAATCCCCTAAAAGTTGTTGTATTTCCTCCTATGATTCCTTTTCATTCAATTACATCAATTGAACCTTTCCAGTTTCCTCTGTCTACAATTGTTTATTCAGATCATTTTAGTATTTCAATCCCAAGCCTTTCAAGTAATTCAATCTTATTCCAATCAAAAATTGTTGATAATCCTTATTGTTTGTTAATTTGGCTATTTTCTTGCAACACTGCCGTATCTGGTATCTTAAATGACTGCATTTATTCCTTGATTTCCAATCTATTATGCTTTTATTTGATCCCAGATTCTTTTTTACGAACTACTGCAAAAATTCAGGTATTCTCTATTTGTTAATTGAATAAGATAGTTAGGGCTCTTTGTTTTATTGGATAACAAAGCAAGAACCTTACTCACTTATTTCTGAAAAATTCAAATCATATAACATGTTAATCTTGCATTACGTTTCACTCAATAAAGCAACTACTAGGGATAGATTACTATGACCAATTAAATTTAAATCCTCCACTAATTTACTTGCAAATTAATAATGTGATTTAATAGATTGTCCAATTGTAATGTCTCTACTTTTATTCAAACCATCTTTCTCAGATTGTTTCTTCATGCATTACTAAGAAAATGACTTCTATTTGATATTTGACTTGACTCCGCGGCGCCTATGATTAGATGCCGATTTTATTTAATTCCTCAAGAAGTCCTTCTATAAGATATGAACATGTTGATCGTCAAATAAATGCTAGTATGCTTCCTTCTCAAATACAAGCATTTTGCAAGATTTACATAGAAGAATATTTCTATCGATATGGTATATTTTAAATAAAGGATTGAAAGTTTATTTCAATATTCTTGAATCATTAGCACCAGAGCTCTTTGATATATTTGATGAGTCTAGTTTTTTCTTCATAGTATTTTAAAGAATGGTTAAATTTTATTAATAAAAGTTTAACAAATAATCATTTCAAATAATAGACGATTACAAACTTACTTTTAAAATATAATTTTAAACCAATAAATTATTATCATACATCACTACAAGTCTATTCTTAATTGTCTAATCTTCTTTATTTCATTCGATGACAATTCAGAAATGGCACTGCTGCTCAGAAACTCTTCCATCTCCTTATACGATTCCAACAGTAATGTACTGCAAATCAATTATAATCGAGCAAAGGCTTGTTTATTATTTGGATTGGTCATCCTAATGAATATTGGATATACAATACATGATTAGATAGTTGATACTTGTTCTGACTTCCTTCTCAAGAATGACAGCTCCTGTTTGATGGAATTTCTTATTCATGATGATCAGCTCCAGTTATTTGGCTATTGAATAACAGAGATGCAAGGACATTTATTCGTAATTTTCCTATGTAAATTATGTCTTCCATTGATTCAATCCCTTAAAGGCATTCTTTATTTAATTGGAGAAGTATTTCTGGTACTCCCTCTCTTGTTCCAACATGACCACATCCTTCTAATCAAAATGCAATTATTTAATCTCTTCAAACACTTCCTTTACTGTGCCCTTCAGATTCTCTGCCAAGACCTTCAGTTTCTCCTCGATTAGTTTCTAAAACTTTTTAGTGTTGACTTCAATCATTTCTTCTACTGCTCCCACAATCATTTATGATTATGGACCTTTAGGTAATTCACTATAGATCTGAGACTTGAGTGTTTTCAAATACATAGGGATATTACTTAGAATGTTGAACAACAATATTATGAAGGAATTATTGACTGTTTGATCTTGTGCAATTCCTATGGCTTGGGGAGAAAAGTATTCTTTCTTCAAATATCGATGGAATAGTTGAAGAGTGATCTGATGTAAATCATCAGAGATAACTTGAAATCCAATGAAATTGATTAAAGCACTTGCTATGATTTGATTTTCAGTGGAAATCGCTCTTTGAATCTATTATTTTATCAAATAGAATATCTCTTCTAGCCATTCATGATATCCATTACTTAATAGTACATTCTGACACTCCAGCAACTTTGTAAACTTGGCCTTATCGAAATTCCACAAATCTTTAAGAGGTTCTGATTTCTAAACAAAGAACACTATTTGTTATTGTAATTCGATTTAAGAGAACTCCAAATACTTACTCAAATACTCTGTAATAGTTTCGCCGATAGCCAAATTTGTAATATCCTTGTCTAATTCTGCTGTCTGTTTGAGATGTTACAAAAATCCATTGTATTCACTTGAGATTGCTGAGATCTCATCACAATAATAGGAAACCTTCTCTAATTGTTTTTAATCCAAATTAATCTTTTTGGAAATAGATTGCAATAGTTGATTATCGTAACTTTAGACAGATTTAGCATTTTTAACCATTTTCTCAATTTCAAAAAAGGAGTTCAATTGTTTTAAGACACCAACCAAATAGGGATGTGAGATCTTCGAAACTAGATAATCAATCAATTCCAAGACCCCTTCAACTCCATAATATTGTTAAACATTCTTAGAGAATTTTTCTGGTTTGATCAATTCTAGAATGCCAACAAAATAATTCAGGAATGGATAGTGATACTTATTGTTGGCAATATCTTAGAAGGATAGAGGCAGATGCTATTATTCATTCTATTCTAACAGTCTTAGATCCTTGAGTAATTCTTCGCCATAAATGTTCTTAATTTTGTCAAGGGATTGTTCTAAATGTAGCACTCTGGCCAAGCCTGAACACAGATTAATTTTTTCGAGTTCATTATTTTTGACTGCTAATTCAAATTGTTATTTCTGGAATGGTATCAATTGGTTCATAATTAGATTTTCCACAAATTGATAATCAGATTGGCAGAATTCTTTCAATAGATTGGGGAGGATCTCATAGTAGACTTGACCGAATTTGATGCATGAGGCAATGTCTTATTACTCAATGGCAATTGGCAATTGATTCTTGATTCGACTCAATTCTAGAAAACAATTCAATGTGTTTAGTAGTAACTCTACGTTTTTCTTTTGATTTCTTGCCATACTTGATATTCTTACTTCAAAGCCTCAAAACTCTTGATAGTGACATGAGCATTCTATTGAATTTGATGCACTTGATTGTCCATAACAATGGCATCCTACCTTAAGTTTGATACTTTGGAAATGCTACTTTTGATTGAATCATCAAGAGTATCGCTTTCATTTGAGTTGAGCAATTTGTTAGCTTCCAGAATGAGTTTCTGCTTCCTCATGCTGTAAAGTACTTCTTCTTACTCAATGAGTGGATAGATATCTTTTAATGAGTTCATTATAATATATATATATATAGTGTATATTAATGTATCACACAATTCAATCATTTGCATATTTCATAATTTAAAATAACAATGAAGAGACTCGGACAAGCTCTGATCTTGATTTATTGGTTAACTCTACTTTAAAATACATCTGCAGCCTCGAACTCTCTAAGTGTTTCGAATGCTGCTTGTTCATGCACATAACTTCTAACTGAGAAAGAATGCAGAGAACGTAAATGCTATTGGAACAACAAAAAATGCTCTGTTTTAACAATAAACACTACCAATTATTGCGATTCGATAGGGATAGATGTCTGTAAGAGTACACCTGGTTGTGCTAATGTCTCAGAGAAGTGTGTTTCTTTTTCGGGATGCAGTGCCTACTAATACACAACCAATGAAACTTGCTAAAACATCTCAATCAATTGTACAACTGATGGAGAATAGTGTATCGAATTAGATAAGTGCAGTAGTTACACAAATCAGGTGAGTTGCGTGAAGGATGAAAACGGGAAGTTTTGTTATTGGAGTACTGAAAAAAGTGTATGTCAATTGCCAACAACTTGTGACCTATTGCCAATTACTTTGAATTCCGATTTATTGTGTAGAGCTCAGATTAGTAGTTGTACAATGAAAGAAGGAGGTGGATGTGAAGCAAGTGGAGAGAAATGCGAAAACCAAAAATTGGAAGGTGCCTGTGTCACAAGTTTAGATTAAAAAAAGAATTGTATTTGGGATGCAAATCAATGCAAAGAGAAAACTTGTGTAAATGCCCCTATAACCAATATTACTCATGAATTATGCACTACCTATTTACCCACATGTACCGTAAATGACACTTTAAATGGATGTCAAGACAGACCAGTTACATGTTCAACAGCAAAGATCCAAAATAATTGTGTAATCAATAGTGCTGGTCAAAATTGCTATTGGAATAAAAACAATTCTAAATGTGAAGACAAGAATTGTGATAATGCCACCGATGATTACACTACTCATGATATGTGTTAGTCGTGGTTGAGTACGTGCACCCTTAAAACTGGAGGAGTAGGTTGTTAGACTAAATTGACTGATTGCACAAAATATACCACTTCTAATCAATGTACAAAGACCTTAGCAGGAGATGATTGCTTTTGGTATGACACAAAATGTCTATTAAAATCATGTGCCAATGCTCCATCAACTAATGTTAATCATGAGATGTGTTCATCATTTTTACCTTCTTGTACTGTTCAAATCGACTTAACTGGTTGTGAGACCAAAAAGGCCACCTGTTCATTGTACACTAAAGAGGACCAATGTATATCCTAATTGGATGGCAAGTTATGTATATTCTAGAATGAGGCTTGCATAGAGAGAGTTTGCGCTAATGCTTCTGAAGACTTAACAAACGAATAAGAGTGCAAGAGATTTTCTCCAACTTGTATGGTCAAATCTAGTTACAAAGGATGCATTTTACAAGAATGCAAAAATATCGATACAAAGGATCGTTGTTCATTAGATTACTAAAACAAATAATGTTATTATGGATTGCAATGTTAATTAAGAAGTTGTGCTAATGCTCCAACTACATATAAAACAGATGCAGAATGTAGATCTTTTCTCAATGAATGCACAGTCAATGAGGAACTCAAAGGATGTATTGAGAGACCCTCCTCGTGTGATAAATTGAATGAATAGTAATGTACTAGATTAACAGATAATGTAACAAAATGTAGTTGGAATGATGATGATGAAAATAATAAGGCATGTAGAATCTTGAATTGTTCAGACATTACACCAGGAGCATAAACAAATGATACTTGTAGTACCTTTGATCCATCCTGTACAGTTGCTGACAATCCAAGTATATGTATGGCTAAACCATTGGGTTGTTCATTGATTGTCAATAGAGAACATTGTTTTGGAGTAATACTGTCAGATATGAAATCAACTTGTAGTTGGGATAAGGACCAAGAACTATGCAGAGATCGTTAATGTTCAGATGCTGATTCAACCCTAAAGACAGAAACTGAATGTAGAAATTACTTAGCCACTTGCACACTCAGTTCTACTGGCAATGGATGTGCAGATGAACCAACCACATGTAAAGGATACAAGACAAAAGAGGTATGTTAGAGTTTAGTGTCCAATCCAAGCAATATTGTATTGTGTGGTTGGAATGGTTGTGAAAGTAGAACTTGTTCGAATGCACCCATATTGGCTTCAGGATAGATATACACTCATGTGTCATGCAGTTCATATTTAAATACATGTACATTGAATGCTGATTAGACTGGATGTGTTGCCAAATTTACATCCTGTACTGATGTTAATAGTTAAGTGTAATGTGGAGAAACAGTCTTAGTAAATGGAGCCAGGTGTTATTATGACGTGTCAACTGACAACTACTTCTGTAGAGACTTCAAATGTACTGATGAAACCTCCTCATTAATGACCCATGTCAAATGCTAGAACCTAAGTAATTAATGTACTCTTGCTGAAAGTGGAAATGGTTGTGTTGATCTCTTAAGTGCTTGTTCAGACATTAAAGAAACCCAATAATGTGAGGGAATCGTCTTGAGTGGAAATCGTTTATGTAGTTGGGATACAAATCCTACTCCCGATTCTGATACTCAAATCCCTGTTTGTAAAGATAGAGCGTGTAAATTCAGTCCTCTAAAAGACACAGCAGATAACTGTGAGAAATACTTATCAACCTGCACTTTAGGTGATCCTGATCTGGGATGTATTGATAAACCTGCATCTTGCAATGGTCTGAATCAAAAACAATGCAGCAATGTCAAGTTAGTTAATGGAACATACTGTTCATTTGATAGTACTATCGCAGATGAAACCTAATAATGTCATGCTAGAATTTGTGCTGATGCTCCTACTAAGTATCAGACTGATGCTGATTGCAGAACTTGGCTACCAAATTGCACAGTTAAATCTGATGAATCTGGATGTGTAGATGAACCTAGTGATTGTTCGTTAATGATGAAACTGTAATGCTATAAACAATCTGTCAAATCTGTTACTTGCTTCTGGAATGCCAATGCCAATCCTGCCAGTTGCAGAGTAGCACTCTGTACTGATGCAAGCACTAGTTTATACACAAGTGATGCTCTCTGTAAAGCCTACAGATCTGATTGTACTGTCGCTAAGGCCAATGGTTGCATTACATAACCAACTTCCTGTGCGTCTCTGGATCAAGATCATTGTCCCAAAGTAACTATCAATGCAGCAAGCAAAGATGCTAGTGAAAACAAGTGCAGTTGGAGTGCCTCATCTTCAGCCTGCCAGGATAGAGTTTGCACTGATGCTCCCACCACTATTATAACAGAAGAAGGCTGTAGAAGTTGGCTCAAGACTTGTACTCTTGGATTAACCAATTAAGGTTGCATCACTGAGTAGACCACATGCGATTTAGTCTAAACATAGAATCAATGTTAAGTGTTATCTAATGGTACTAAGTGTGGATGGAATACTGGCTGTGTAAATAGAACATGTTCCAATGCTCCAGATACTTATATTACTGATGACTAATGCAGAGCCTATCTTTCAACATGTACTGTGTAAGCAGATGGAACTGGCTGTGTTATTAGAGCATCGAAATGCACTGATATTTTAGTAGATAAATAATGCATTAAAATAAACGATAGTAAATTATGCCAATGGAATTCAGTTAAATTAAAGTGTGAAGACAGAGCTTGTACTAATGCTCCGACTACTCTAATAAATCACACTATGTGTTAAGATTTCCTGCCTACTTGCACTGTCAAAGCAAGTGGAACTGGTTGTTAAACACTACTTGATAAATGTTCAGCATACACTGTCATAAAGCATTGTGTATAAACAACAAGTGGTTCTGGTTGCCAATGGATTCTGATCTCAGGAACAGGATAATGCGTTGACGTTTATGAGACCTGCTCATCCTATACTATGGAATCCTCTTGCACTGCACAAAGAGATAAATCTAAATGTATTTGGTTGAATGGATCTTGTTATAATCGAGAATGTCAACATGCACCCAAATCCTATTCAACTCATGAACAGTGTCAAGAGTATGGAAATTGTACAACTAATGGCCAAGGATGCATAAATTATATACCCTGTGATCAATATAAATATGCAGCTTCTTGTGTAAAAGGTCTCAATGGAAGTTGTATACTTGTTAACTAATGTCAAAATATCGGTTGCGATTTAGCCCCAACCACCTATAAGACTCACTCTGATTGTCAAGCCTTTCTTTCCACTTGCACCACGAATGGAAATGGTTGTATTGAAATCAAGAGATGCCAAGATGCTTATGTCGAAGAAGCCTGTAAGATCAATGCAAGTCAGAAGGAATGCGCTTGGGTTAATGGAATTTGCTATGATAAAAGTTGTGATACTGCCGATGCGACTATTCAATCAGAAAAAGGATGCATTGAATACTATTCATAAGGCAATTGCACCACTAAAAAGGGAGGAGGTTGTGTTACAAAAGGTAAATGTAAGGATGCACAAGTAGAAGCAGCATGCATATCCTAATATGATGGATAGAAATGCTCATGGCAAAATGGAACTTGCTAATTGAGATCATGTACAGACTTATTGGGTTATGATCATCAGACGTGTAATACAGCTTAAGCTGACTGCACAACAGATGGATTTCAATGTACAATGATGAAAACATGTTCGAATACTTCAATCCAATAAGCATGCTTAAAGGGAACTGATGGACCATGTAGATGGAGTGAAGACAAATGTCTTAAATACACAAAATGCTCAGATCTCATTTATTCTACCCATGTCCAATGCAACTCTATCCATCCTTAATGTACCACCAATGGAATGAATTGTGTTGCCATTACTAAGTGTTCTAAAACACCTAAAATTGCTTGTTTTGTTGGTACAACTAATAATTCAATTGGAAAATGTATTTGGACACCGACAACTGTGAAAGCATCTGCTCCATATTAATGTATCGATTTCACTGATTGTGCAAATGCTCTATATCTAAATCACAATGATTGCTATAACTATTCTCTTGGTGAATGTACAAGTGATGGTGTCAATGGTTGTATTAAATTGGATAACTGTGCAAAATATACTGTTGAATCTGCCTGTTTCATTGATAAAGCAGGAAAGTCATTAAATTCAGCCGGAGCTGTTACAGCAACAGGTAAGTGCAAATGGTCAACTGATAAATGTGTTGCTTAAGGTTGTGCTGATATTGTTGGATCTAGTCATAGTGATTGCAATGGTTAATTGAGTACATGTACTTATAATGGAAAGAATTGCGCTGTGTAAGGTACATGTAGCAGTTATACTACAAATGATTCATGCACAGTTGCCACAGGAACAGATGGAAAATGCATTTGGGACAGTAATGCATGTTCAGCCATGAAATGTGAGGATTATCCAGTCACCTTATGTTCACTCTATTCATCCACTTGCATTCAAGATGGATCAACTTGTGTTTCCCTTAAGGATTGCACTTCATACAAAACTCAAACAGCTTGTGATTATGGTAGTCCAACTAGTGTTTGTGCATGGATTGTTACTACCACTAATAACAAAGGTAAATGTGTCGAGGTGACTACTTGCACCATTGCGACTGTTTATGAAAAGGCATGCAAGAAATTGTCAGATAGATGCTATTGGTAATCTATTACAGTTGCCAACTCAACAGAACATATTTGTGCTCCTAAAACTTGTGAGATACAAACTAGTACCACTTGTACAGGGTTCTATGATTGGTCACTTAAAACTTATACTGTGTGTTAATTCAGTGCATAAGGAAAGTGTGTTTCGACTGATCCCACTAGTTTGAATTAGAATGATTGTCCACTGGCTACCTTATATTAATACACCTGGAATCCGACTACAAATAAATGCACTATTTGCAATGTAGTTCAAACCAACAATTCTACACAATCGAACCAATCAAATACAACTGAAGATAGTTCAGCAGTCATCTTATCAATTGTAATTCTTCTTGGATTTGTAATTTGATTATCCATATTAATATAAATATATTTATCATTTATAATAAGTAGGCTGCATAAACTACGATGGCTATTTCTGCACTATTAATCTGCTGTCCATAGGCAATATGCGACTCTGAGGAAGCATCTAAGTCTGAGGAATAGCCTGTTATCTAACCATCTTAAAGATGCTTTTGGGTTTAGCTTGTGATTACTAATATTGTTGTTATTGTTATTATTATTGTTATTATTACTGTTATTATTACAGTAATTTCTCATAGTTTAGTAGTTATTTCAAGAATCCTGTATTTGGATTTACCTGTCTTCTTTTGGATTTCAATTTCCACAATGCCTTCTCCATATTCAAATTGTATTTCTTCATCAAATAAGCTACCACTATTGTAGGAGATCTGCTGATTCCCAGAAAACAATGAACCAGGATGTTGGTGTGCTTCCTATGTCGCTCAATAAAATCAAATGTCTAATCTGCAAATTGCAATATATTATAATCATCCTTATCATGTGCTTCTACTACATGATGGAATTAAACCACCAAATCACTATATTGAACTGCTGTCTCCTGACTTGCCGTTAATACAGCCCTAATCTTTAATCTCTTAAGCATGTCAACATCCTTTGCTCCTTCATAACCTCCTACATATATTCCTCCCTCCTCATGGGCTATTAAAATATCTTAACCAAATTATACTAGGCTCAACGATGCATGTGATTGGATCAGGATCAACTATTTATGGTACTGAATAAACGAACTTCAAATCTTCTAAAGGTATGGTTGTTAACACTATGCTTCTAGAGAAAGCATCTAAAGTTTGGGACATTTATAAGGATTTTTAATTGAAATATTATATAATAATATTCTCTTGAGATTTCAGAAACACTATTACAGAATTGCTTAGCTTTTTTTAATTTGAAATTATTAAAATTCAGACCTGTTGTGAATTTTGGATTTCTTTGAAATAAAGATTTCTTGTATATTAAAGTGTCGTTGATTTTGAACTACTGAGTATGTATTCACTTACTCAATAAAAGAGAAAGAATTGTAATACATAAGAGATTGATGACTGCAAGAGATAGGACTACTTAAATTGATCACAAATGGATTATAAACTACTTTAATATTAATTTTGAATTTCAGACTGAATATAGAATTTTATTCATTAATAAATACAATAAAATGGGGAATGTATGTTTATCAGAAAGTGAAGAGGCTTGGGAATGGAAACATGAAATAAGTGAGTTATGTCGGAATTATTCTTTATTTCTTTGGTCATAGCTGATATAATTTTAAATTAGAAATATTGAAGCAGTTAGAGAGATTCAGCTTAGAGACATCTATTTAATGAATGCATTGTTCTTGAATAATAAAATTGAATACTCAGAATCAGAACATGCAACTATTAGTTAGAAGAACATGAAAAAATTCATCAGAAGAAGTGGACTATCAGAGTAGCAACTTGATTAGAATGATGTCTCCTTTTCTGGCAGTCTCTTATCGGATACTCAATCCTACGTATATCACGAAAAGGCATGTCAGGTGAGTGAGGTAAACATAAGGAGCATGGACTATTTTGCACATTTCACAGACATAATTAAGTACCAAATCAAAACAAATGAGATTGGCCATCTCATTAGGTTTTTCAAATAATCCTATTAGATAGATGAAACTTACTTGGATTCCTTCAAGGCCTTTGTTGATTTTCTTTATTAAAGTGTTGTCTCATATTATAAAATATTGAACTTCAAGTAGGAATTGCCTCGATATTCTGGTTTAATCAATAAAGACACTTTAATTAATTTCATTACAAATTGTCTACTTTAAGATAGGGAATTGTATGATAAAATATTTAACAAAATCTCAGAGGAATTGTAAGATAAATGTTATATCACAAAGAGGATGATGATTGAAAATTAGAATCAATCAACACGTGAAATGGGAATCTCAAGAGAGTTTTAATTTCTAGATGAGCATCAGCCATATTTACAAGCAATCAGAATACTTTAAAAAGTATAACAAAAATCAGGACCTGCTAGTAAAGTCAAAGTTATATTGAAAATGTCTTAAGTGATTACATTATGCATGTCAAAAGGCAGAGGCAAAAGTCTACTAATAGCTACTGATGATATGCTACCAGTCTTAAGATATGTTATCATCAAATCTTAAATCTACGATATTCATGTTCATATTTTTATATTATAGAATTTATTAACCCAAAATGTTCTTTCGAGTAACTTAGGGTTCTTTATAACAAGTTTGTAAGCTAGTATAGAATAATGATTATCAATTTTTTATTATGATATATTGATATCTCATTATCTAGTTCGATTTATAATATAAATAGTTACACCATTATCATATGATAGATAATTACAAATCTCGCCATTAATAAACAATTTATTTTGAATGTAACAGTTGTAACTGTAATTAATACTTTTTGTGAGCAAATATGAACAAACAAAAGGATCTTAGACAGCAATCCTGTGAATTAGAGATGTTAATAATTATAGTTAAATTCATATTTATTTTTTCAATTGATACAACACACTATCATATGTAAAAATGCATGTTGTATTTTAATCAAAAGTCTAATATTATTATATAATAGGGCATTAAATTTTGAGTAGGAATTGTCTAAACACTAGGATGACCAATTCATTTAAATAGATAGCTCCAACGCAAATGAATTTCTCATCGTATCTACTTTTAATGGTGTTTTCTATATTTTCTTCTATGTCCAAACCTGGAAAATAATATTTAAATACATTACATTTCCTGGACCGAAACTTAGGCTGCTAAACCTTGCATTATTCGGAACACCAAATAACAGATGCTATTGACTGTCACTGCTCCAACAAAATAATTAGAAGATTGCCTTAATTAAATTAAAGAATACTATAATTATTTGTGAATTTCTAAATACATTGCATTTCCATCCCCTCCTATCTCAACTACCTTATAATTAAAAGAGCATATGCTTGGCTTCTTCAGTATAATACATTTATTATCAATCTAAGTAATTTGCAATATCTCCCAATTTTTGATATTCTCCACTTCTCTCACATCTTCCATTTCATCCATTAAATTAGATGCTTCAGAACCTTGAGAAAGTTGATAATAAACCTGGACATTTTCTTACTATTTGTTATTGCTGTTCTTTCTAAATAGACACCCTCCCATTTTGATATTGATTTTATATTAATAAAGTGAATCAATGAAATCTTGAATGATATCAGATAATGAGTGGAGAAGAAAACGTTAATCAATGCTATTTATCTATATCTTAAATCTCAGCTTGCCAATACGATAAGAATTGATTATTCCTCAGCCAAAACCTATTAACAGAGTTCAGAAAGACAAAGTAAAAGTAAAAGAACATTCAGATTAGAAAATGGAGGGTTCTTTATATACATCTTATTCGTATGAATTTTTATGTTTGTGGTAAGATTAAGAAATTAGTTCTTAAATAAATCCTATATTTCAAGTGTTATAGTTGGACTGTCAGTGTGAATAACAAATTCCTTAAATTATTTTTTATATGTAAAATAAATCAAATACTTGTGCTGTGTGTTCACTTAAAACAACATTTGGCTGTTCATAATGTAAATCAGTCTTTTATTGTTCTGTTGAACATCAACGACAACATTGGAGTGTTCATCAATAGTCTTGTCAATCAATGAAAAACTAAGATAATAAATAAATAGATGATACTATTAGCAAGAGTCCTGCATCAAAGCCATAGAAATTTGAGATCTAACAAGCAGTTCAACCTAAATCAGATAAGAAATTGATTATGAATGAAAGAGACATATTAATAGAGGATCATGATCGTTACAGATAGATTTCCATCAGATTGCTCTCCTAAAGGGATTATTAGGATGCAATCTAATAAATAAAGAAAACAATTGAATTTGCATAAAAATTAGAGTTGATTGGTGGTAAGGAAGACACCTATGAGAAAATTGCAGATCAAATGCTATTGGTTAGAGGTATATATAATGACCATAGAATTATAGCTTAAATAAAATTACTTGAATTGGAAACAGCCAGAAAAACACTTATCTCAATATTTGAGCAGGTTAAACTCCTGACACAAACATCATAAAAAAATGATTAAGTGAAGGTCTCAAATATATTAAAAGTAATGGCATAATTGTTCTATGAAACTGGAGATCAAAGATAGTGCGAGTTGGCCTATGTTGAATATACTTTAGTGATTGAGAAATGTCACGGTGAAGATGTAACAAAATAATAATAATTCTAGAGCAATTCAACAGGCAATGCTTACTTTTTGGTTGGGACATTCTACTTGTAACACAAACATTACACATAAGCCCTAGCCTGTTTTAAAAGAGCCCTAAATATTCGTTCGAATATCAATCCTAATGTGGAGAGCGTGAGTGATTGTTGGTATAACATGGGCGTAATCTACAAATAGTAAAATAAAAAGGATCAAGCAATCGATTTTTTAGAAAAAGCCTTAAAACTAAGGAGATAGATAATTGGGTAGAATTCCCTTTAAGCAGCAGTTTGTTTAGAAACCCTTGGGAAATTGCATATCTAATATAATGAATATCAAAATGCCTACAGTAGATTGTAGGAATGTTTTAATATAAGGAAGCAACTTCTGAAGAACCCACAACATCAAGATATTGAGAGGGTGTCTAAACTCATTTAGATTCTATATTAGAAATTGCAGGATCAAAATTACAATAAATAAAATTCAACTTTGCAGGCAACCATTCTAGAAAATAATTTCAATAGGGTTTTGGAGATGGAGGAATCAGAGAAATAGGAAAAGAGCAATTCGTCTCCTTCAAGAAAGAGATCTTAACTTAAAACTGATTAGAAATTATCACAATTATTGAACATATCTAGTAATCTTTTAGAATCATTCAGTATTGATTAATTGATACAATTGAAATTATTGCAATAAGAACTAGTCAAATACAAGAATAGATAGGAGCAACAATAAATAATTATTGATAGTTAGTTCATGAATACTTTATCGTCAATCCAATATAATCTGTTGAGAGAGTAGAACCCTCACGTGTTTTAACAATTGCAAATTATCAAACCAGATGAATAATAGAGTGAATATGAAAGTGAAAGCAAACCATCCATCGATTAGAAAATGTATGCTTCAAATCAAGGTAAAATATAATTGAGATGATTATATATTTAATAGAGCATTCACAAAAGATTGTCCAACGCCTAGGAAGCTTTCGGAAATTATTAAACTGAAGTCTACAATAATCAAACTGTATTACAATTCCATTATGTTAGGATGTGAAGGAAAGAAGCGATTCCAGGAAGAAGACTTTTACTTTTTATCTAACTAAATAATGAAAATTGTTAGTTATAAATTATTTATATTACAATGAGTCTTTAACCTAGATTAAGTCCTAAGAACTACAAAAAGTACAGCGTTTTCAACGATACAATCAATATAAGGACATCTCGTAACACAAGCTTTGATTATGAATTTTAAAAGAGAAGGAATTCCAACATTAGGTCCAAAAATTCAGGCAGTGTTCTTAGAGGATCCAAAGCAGGTGATTTTATGGGTAACATTACAATACATTTCTAATATGTACATTTTTATTCCAACAATAGGGTTAAAATGCATTCAGAGATAAAAATTTTACGGAAGCTATTAAATACTATAACGAATGCATATTAATAGATTCTCTCCATATCCCAAGTAGATATATGTTGGGAGTTTGTTATTTCTCCCAAAATTAATATGACAAGTGCATTAAAGAACTCAAATTTGTTAAAGAACAATAGCCAAATTACAATAAGAATGTTTTCATCTTACTTGCTCTTGGTTACAAAAAGCTGATCCAATTAGATTTGTCTATTAAAACTGTATCAATTCTATTCTCATTATAGTTAGAAGACTGCTTGTAGTGTTATCCTCAATGTTACGATGCCTTGATATTCAAAGCCAAATTGGAACTTAAGTTGAGGAGATTCCAAGATTGTGAGTCAACATTGAGGTCAGCCATAAAAATTAATTCAAAAAGATAAACTGGCTATCATTATCTTGGAGATTGTTAGAGACTCCAAAATAATTTCGATTAAGCAATTAAAAATTATTAAATAGCTTTATAATTTGACACAAGTGATAAATCTAAATTGAACATTTTAAAAATGTGTATTTGTCTATTTGAAATGTCAAATTATCAATAAGCGTTATAGATGATTGATTAGGTATTATATTCTGTTAATTAGTATTTAAGTCAAGATGAATAATCATCTGAAGCAAACAAATTAAAAGCGCAAATATTATAAAAGCTTGGCTAAAAGCAAGAAAGCCAATTGTATTATGAACAAGCCATATAAAACAATAATTCTAGAATTGCTGTCTCTAAAGCCATTATAGAAATTAGCAAATTTAAAATAGAATCTAAGGACTTCTACTCCTTATATCATACTCTCCTGAGAGTTGAATATTTGGATGTCGATAAATAATAATTATAACCCTATATCCAATTCTCTGAAGCCGTAGTCTACTTATTAAAAAAGAACTACACCTAAGCAGATGAAGCATTCAAAAAATTGTAATAATTGGATATCCCACATGTTATCTAGGAGATCTATCCTTCTTATGTAGGATATTTGAATATGATGCTTAACAATTTTGATTAGGCTCTGAAGGATTTTAGACAGAATAAATCGTTACCTTACAATTAAATCATATGCGAAGGGATTATTAACTTCAATTAATTTGATACTGCTTATTCCATATTTGATGAAGCGTTAAGTTACAATTAGATTGATCCCAACATGTATAAGGCAATCTTATTAATTAAAGAAGGATTAAAATAAAAGAATTCTGACTATATAAATAACTCGTTGTAATGTTTAACTAGAGCCCAACAATATAATCAGAATAATTCTTAATTGATGTATCTAAAATCATTAACCTATATGTTAATGGACAATGTTGAAGATGCATATAAAGAAATACTAAAAACCATAGAAAAGGCAGATGAGAATTTAGCTGATCATTATTTTTTGAAGGGATTAATTCTGGCTTAGAATGGAGATGTCTTAAATGCAGTCCAGGACTTTTCAGTTTGTCTGGGAATTGATGATCAATATCAACAAGCCTATTTATAGAGATCAAAATGTTATTCATATTTGGGAGAAATTCAATAGGCTTTTGATGACATGAACTCCTACATTTAGTTTGTAGATGACTTTTTGAGTGCTGGTAATCTGTTATACAATAGTAAAATGTATGAAGAAGCATATAAAACCTATAAATAAGAATCAAATCTAAAGATTGAACATATACAGCAGATGGCAGCTTGTTTATTTTAACTAGAATAATTTGATGGAGAAGAACTTTAAGAGTTTATCAGAGACAAATAATTTGATCAAAATATGATGTTGGCTTATTAGCAAATTACTAAATACGAATATGATTCAGCCATTTTAACATTACAAAAAAAGATTGATCCCTAATCCTCCTTTTTCTTTAATAAATAGTATTTACATCTATATAAGGGCATTTGCTACTTGTATTTATCGAAATATCAAGAGGCCATCCAAGAATTTGAAAGGTGTATTTAGTTGACTAAATCAGAAACTTTGATTTACATTACAAATTATAATATTATGTTTTGTTGGATGATGTTGAAGAAATTTAAGTATTCTCATACTCAATTAGAATAATTAATCAAATTATCAGAACAGAAGCACGTATTACTAACTATTCGGAATCTATTAATAGATTAAACTGAATTTACTTTGTCAGAAAATCCATTAGGAATAGAAATTATGTTAGCAGATACAATAAAATTGTAACCTTTTATCTCAACATAATATACTATTTATCCATACTTTTCACTTCCAATTGCATAACCAAAAGATATCTCTCCTTAGTTTGATTTCAAAATTATCTAAGCTTTAAATGTATGTAATTATAATGTATATTTAGGCTTAATCAATTGAATGTAGACCTGAAGCCCCTTGGATTAGAAGGAATGAGAATGGAGTCTTATTCACTGATAATTTGTAGTAATGTGAATTAAGTTAAACAGAGAATAGCTCTCCAGAGAACTGAATTTATTATAATATTACTATTTAAATGATTATTTTATTAGAAAACTATTCTCATTAGAGATGAAATTATGAATCTAAATTCAATAATAATAAATTTAGATCTTTTAATCATATTTGTATTGGTTAAGAAGACAGTGCAATCTATTTTTAATAATTAGTGATGATATTATTAAAATTATTTGTATTACACCTTTACTTATTTGATTGAAAATTATTTAATTAAAAAAGTATCAAAACCATATTGTATTTTCATACAATAATGATATTGTAAATTTAATATAAATGCACAGAATTTCAAATAGTACAACTTTAAACAATTAAGATTTATTTAAGTTGGTCATTATGAATATATTTGATTAAAATGGATATTAGTTAATTAATATAGTGTGTCTATTATCTTGTAGTGTTAAAAGATAATAAATTTATGTCAATAGAATTAATAAGCATATAATAGATATAAATAGGCTATCTGTAATAAAAATTTACATTTTAATAAGCTATTTAATTAATCCTTAAAAAAGCGGAAAATAAAATTACTATGTCAACAAAATGACGAATTATGAGTTTAAATATGAAATTTAAGAAAAATGAAAGGATTTAGTTCTGATTAAATAAAATGAGTTAAATTTTAGCACCTGTAGTTGAATAAACAACAGTACCAGATGGATTCATTTTAGAGTAAAATTCAAAAACCCTCATGGTGACAATAAACAGACCAAATTAGGCAAATAGCTTCACTTTGGGAATGTATTTGCAATTGATAGAAATTCTAAAAAAAGCCGCAGAAGATGATACCGTACAATAATATTATATAATTAAGGTTGATATAGTTTTAGTAAAGGGAAATGGAAAAATGTTTAGTTCAGGCAATGACATGAAGAATTTTTCATTATTTACTTTATCAACAGAGGAGGTATTTGATATATAATATTGTCTTAGTAAAGAATTCAATTCGCCACAGAATTAGTGGAATTAATCCGAGAATTAAATAATTCCATTTTGCATTTTCCTAAGACTTTGATAGCCTGTTGTCATAATGGTGTATTTGGGTTTTTATTTCCAATGTTGGCTCTATTCGATTAAGTGTTTGTGACAGAAGATTGCTATTTTGTAGCTCCAATGATACAACTTGGTTAGGTAACCACATATGTCTATAATTAAAGGGTCATGAGATGTTTTCATCCTATACTTTCCCCAGACTCTTCGGACATAGCAAATCATATAGTTTGATGGTGAATGGAGAGAGGTTGTTGGCTAAAGATGCAATAGAATGCGGATTCGCTTAGAAGATGTTCAAGACTAAGGAGGAAATGTATAGCAATGCTTAAAAGTTGTGCTAATCAATAGAGTAGATGGATAGGAATAGTGTGATGAATGGAAAGTTGTTGATGAGAGAAGCATTGATGAGCGTATGATTGTGCATTTGATAATGAATAGGAATTGAGCAAGGCTGGAGAGAGAGAATTGAAGGTAAACTTCAAGATCTGGTCTTAGGAGAATTTGCTTGAGAACGTTATGAAACATATGATGAGAATGAGATCAAGATTGTGAAATGATTTTTATATATAACAAATTGAATGCAGAATTTAATCAATATGTATTCGTAATTTATTTTAAGTGTGATAGGATGCTTCTTAATTCTCTTCTCTACATTTTGGTTCAGAACTCCAATAAGAGACATAAATGACATTGCTTCATTCAGAAAACCAAAGTACGATTAAATTGTTCTATTTTTTTTGGATGCTACAGGATATCGATACATAATCAATGAGAGTAATGAGCATGAAATATTCCAAACCATTACTATATTGAAGGATTTGAGTCAAAACTACCCACACCATACATTCCTTAAGAAATCCAAGGCTGTTCCACCTTCGACAGACTTTACAATTTTGAGTATAATCAATGGAATCAAATAAATGCAAAATAATATGGATGTGACTTTCAAGTCTAATCCAGCACCTTATGAAGACTCAATATTAAGAAAACAATTCAAATCAGCACTCTATTCAAGTAAGAAGCACGATTGGTTAAGAATGACCTCAGGAGAGTTTACATTCGTTGAAAATCCTTAATTTTTTAATTTAGACAACATTTAAATAGCGGATCTTTCATCATACTAATTCTTTAAATAGTCTTTCCTTTAAGATCAACCAGATTACTAATTTTATGTAGTTCATATGATGGGATTCGATGCCCTCGGACATGCCTTGTAACATCAAGATTATGATAAAGCAATACAATTATTCAGGATGTTTAATGCTATCCTAGAAGGAGTGGTTAATAGTCTCAAAGAAAATCAACTATTGATAGTGATTGGTGATCATGATCAAAGCAAAAGAGGAAAACATTATCAATGTTCTGAAGAATCATCAGAATGTTAAGGCTTTATTTTTGCATTCTCTATTGATGGACTCTTCCAAGAAAATCAAACCTATGATTTTTATGAGCCATCAGACATATCAGCCACCATCACTTCCCTCTTAGGCTATTCATCAACCAGTTAAAATCTTGGAAAAATTATCCCCTAATTTTATCCTAGACAAACTGATTAATTAGATATCTAAAATGATTAAGAAAGAGTCAAAAATCAAGTGATTAAATATCTCTAAACCTAAGGATTCAAAATATCACCTACTTTCATTGAAGAATTAAATTAATTATCTGCTGATCAGGTTGTAGTTGAAGTTCAGAGAAATATATAAATAGGATTACCAAGAAAAGACACCTTCTTTATTGGAATACTATTATTATTATTTAGCATCTACTTAATGAGAAGTCATTTAGGATTACAAGAAAGTACAATTATTGTTTTAACTGGGTTCTTTAATCCCTAAATTATGACCATAGGATTATTAGTTTTAGTAGTTTTAAGGAGAGAATCTAATTTAAAATTAATCCTGAAGATATTAGCCTTGCTTATATTTATATAGCTTAACGATATGGGATATATTCCAGAATTACTCTTATCTATTGAGATCCAATTTTTGCTCCTTTTAGCAATAAAATACTAGAATTATATTAATTCAGGATAGAATTTTTCTAAATGGAAGATATCTTTTTTGTTTACATTGGTGATGGTTTCATAGTTTGTTGCTAGTGTATTTTTCTTATTAGACTAAAATGATTTTGAATTAAGGAAATCTCTTTTGTAAAGTTTGATAATTGCAATTATCATATTTTGTGTTATTGATCCAAGATATTTTAATAAGGGAAGAGTGAAGGCATTGTATCTATCAATACTGTTTATATTGTCAGATGTTGCAGTGATATTCTAACTCAATTACTCCAAGAATTTCATATAATTCGTCCTATAATTTATGCTCATGCAATATATAGATGTTGGATAAAATGTACTTATTTCTAAGATTCTATATAATGCAATCAACCCCATTAAAGTTGACCATTAAGTGTTTAAAGGGTATAAATAACTGAATATGAATTCAATGATCTTACTCACTAAAGAGTTCGACATTGGACCTTCCTTATTTTCAGTATTCATTGGTAGTTTTGGATGCCAAATAATAGGAATTGCTTCTTTATTTTTTAATTAACTTAAATTAGATAGACATAAAATTGTCGGAGCAATGATAATTTCATCCATCTCTAATCTGATCCTAGATTCCTGGTAGATTCTTAACTATAATTAATCTATTTTTAACACGAATCAAATGATCGAAGAATAGATAGTATTGTTAAACAGTCTACCAATGAAATTATTGGAATTGATTCTATATAGTTTTGCCTTTGGTGTATTGGCAAGATACACTAAGAAACAGAGGGAGATGTGATAAATATATATTATTTAATCAAAAGTATAATTTCTTATAGATTAATTGATTTTAAAATTGCTGTTGCATCAATTAGAACTGCATATCAAATTGAATTGGTTACATGAAACCTGTCTTGGAATAGACACTATATCCTTTGAATTGACATGCTGGTTATTGTGGAAATTGTTAATACTAAAATTAATTAAATTTATTTTTACATAGAAGTATTATTATTGACCAACCCTCATATCATTAGGAGTTTGAGGAGTACTGATTTCAGAGCTTTTCTCATAAACTGTATTGATTGTAATGCAATCCTTTTTGAATTAATTCAAGGCTTCTGAAATTTAGCTTATTAAGCCTGTTCTTTCAGCAAAACAAACTCTATTTAATTTTGGCATCTCCCTTAAAGTGTCAACCACTATAATAGAAATTATATATAGTTTTACATTTAATATTTTCTCTTTGTACCTTAGCTTCTATGTCTACATTTCTTGAAATTTTATTTTATGTATTAGCATTGAACTTTGTAGTAGGTTTGAGAAAGAAATTTTTATTGATTTCTACATTAAATCTTATAATACCTATTTTCAATTATTAGTATTTTTCAGCTGAATATGAACTTTAACTCTTGTCATCGGAATCTTTTTATGAGCACACCGAAAGTGGATTGTAACCATGAGATGCTACCTTATTTAGAAGTGGTTCTGGAGATGTGTTACATGATGAATCACTTTTCTTGAGTTCAGGGATTTGCTAAACAAAATCATACAAGTCTGAAGGTGTTTTTGAGTATAATTATTCTTTGAATGCTAAAACAATAGAATGTAACTAATCAGGCAATAGGGGATTTAGTTTGTTTATGAATTCAAGGAACGCTATTTTCAATGTATCTATAGTATCCATTTGATAAAAAAAAGATTGAATGTAAATTTTTATAGAATAAGTTAATAATATCATAATAAATATTATTAAAATGGAATTAAAGGAGTCTTATTCTAGTTTCAAAGACTTTGACGATGATGAGAGTGATATTTTTAAATCTCTAATAGAAGATGACTCAGATCATTTGAGTAGAAATCAATGCACCATACAAATTAACAATTAATTACAAAAAAGTGCAATTTAAGATAGTTCTTCCATATTTAGAGGAAGTGATAAATCAATAGAATCTGATCAATCACCAATTATGGAATAACCACTATTAATAAAGTAACAATATAGTAGGTAATTCCAAAATCGTTTGGGATTTATTCTGTAGCGAACTAGACCCAAAAGAAAGCAGGAAAGATAGAGATGCAGTTTGGATACCTCAGCTATCCTAATTAAATTGTTGAACTCCAAAAGACTCTATAGATTGGCATTTAACTTCTATATATTCTTGAGCATTGTATTTCGAGGGATGTGTTTAGGAGTAACATTAATATAGACTATAGTATACAGTTTGGATAGACAATGGTCTTGCTGGTGGTCATTAGGAGGTTTTGTGTTATCAAGAATAATGTTTGGGTTATCAATTTATAAGTTATTAAATACAGGTGAATAGACAAAAGATAAATCTGTAAAAATGGTTTATGAAACCTATTTAAAGTGGTTTGAAGACATTCAAGTGAAGATTAGATAATTGGAAAGAGAAACTAGTTCTCTTATTAGAAGGAATCAAGTTGATGAAGATCAATTTTTAAAGTAAACTAAAGAAATCAATCGATTATAAAAGTGGTTATTATTTTAAAAGACTTATTAAATATTTATTCCACCAGAATTGTCATTTCTATAATTTAGGAAATAGAGTAATGGATTTTTTTAGGTGCAAAACTTTATTATGAAAAGCATAGAGCTGTTCTTCTTTATGCCTGCCTTTCTCCATTTCATTATAGTTTTTAATGTAAAAGAAATAGAGAGGATTTTTATTTTAGATTTCACAGAACATTAAATATAACATATTTTTAGTATTCTAGTCATCATAGATATTGGAGCTTTTATCTTTATATCCTTGGCTTTGCTATACTTAGGAAATAAGAAATAAAAAGTGAAACCAAAATGAATTACTTATTTTATATTTAATAAATAATTAAACTGGAATATAATTAATTGAAATATTTTCTCTAAATTGAAAACCATTTTGAAACTTGATAAAAAAGCTATCAGAATATAATAACATAATACTGTTTATTGTTTTATCATTTAGTCTCGCTCTTTTTGATTTGAAATGTAATTGATGTTTGTAAAATTTCATAATCTTAAAAGCAGATTTAGCAACCTATTTTTTATATCAACTAAGCCAGCATAAAGTATGAATTAATAAAAATTAAATTATGATTTTTATTGTATCAATAGTTGATTTCAATACAAAAATTAATAATTATTTTTTCACTTAATCCAATTGACTTCCCCTGAGATTATAGTTCCTGAAAACTTTTTAGATTTTGTAAGGATTTTATATGAATTACTTTAACACTTATAAATCAAATTGATCAATTTCTATGAATAATAATAGAGTAACAAATATAGATTTATTATCAGTATTTTATTTAATTATCTATACATGTATATATCTACTATATTACAACCTAAACTTTCATTGAATTCTAATGAATACTGTCATAAAAACCTATTTGCTATCTGGAAACGATATTCTGCATCCATTGATATATCTAAGAGTCGATAATTTGTAGAAGAATGAAATTAAAAATTATATAATTAATTTCAAAAGTATGCAATAAAATTTAATAAATTATAGGAAAAGAATAAATCAAATCGTTTCACCTGCTTTCTTTAAAGAACGAAAGGTTTCAGAAGTAGTTGAATTATAACCTCTCATTCTGAATAATCGCATAAAATCTCTTCATCTACCTGAAGGTTAATAATTATTTTTGGATAATTCTATTGAATTAGATTTTAGTGGTTTTAAAACAGCTTAGATAAATCTTTCCCATAACATTACGGTTTTTTAAAGTCCTGGATAATTTGATGGTGGTTAAGCAATGAAGAGATCTATAATTTTATCGAGAAACTCTTCACCAAAAAATAGGAAGTTATAGAGAAGAGGCACTCTTTTTCTAATAGATGAAAACGAACAAAAGAAATATGAATAATGGGTTAGTAGGTTAAGAAAAAGAACAACAGATTATTTTATTAACATCATTTTGAATCACTATGTTGAACTATTTGCATCGATGTAAATGAAACATTACAGCCATTTGGTTGATATTTATAATGATATAGGAGAACAATTATTATAAAGTCCAATTACTCTGATTCGATTTACTTTAGTTATTGGATCATACCTTTTAGAAATGAAAGATTTTAATAAAAGTAGTTTCTTGTCGAAGTAGTTGTTCATAATAAGCAAGATGTTGTCTCTCTATAAAGAGAGAGCGAGGATAATGCTATTTATTTCTAAAATTTGTTAATAAGGATAATTATATGAATTATCTTTATAAATTCTAGAAGATGGATTAGTGTATAGTTGGTTGAGTGATGGACAAGAGGAAGAGGCTTAGATCTATGAGTCAATGGGAATTTCCTTATTTTATATGTAGCAATAAAAGAAAGCTAGAGTATTTCATTTTAAATATGTGAACGGACATTTAGAACCTCATAATTCTTAATTAAGAATCTCCATCATATAATAATTATAATTATCAGAAAGACTATTATAAGAGAAAGGAGAAAAATAAGAATTTATGAATGAAGTTGTTTTGAGTAGATTATAATTTCCATTTTTGAAAAGAGAGAAAAATAAAGTAATCAAAAAAATTGACATTTCATAATTTGAAGAAAATGTTAAGCAAGTAATTAGTGAGTAGAGTTAAGTAATAAAATATGAAAGCATTTTGTTAAGAGATAGTTAGATACAATAACCAAAGATGAAATTAAGAGATTTAGGAACAATCACACAGAAATATTTGGAAATGAAGAGGAAAAGCATTAGATTATAATGGAAATAAAGAGAGAGAATTAACAATTATACTTTGGATAAGAATCTCAATGAATATATTACTTAGAGAAATAAGTAAATTATAGATTGTTCAGTGCTATTTTAAAGGATACATGACAATGTTGCACATAAAAAGGATAAAGAACTAGAACCAATTCTAATTAATTAGAGCCAAAAGAAACCATTGATTTTGTATATAAGAAAAGTATTTGAATAATAATTATTTGATTGATGAATGTCTTAGAATAAATCGAAGTCACTATCAAGACCTATTGTTATGCAATTATGAAGGAGACAATGTCTTAATTCATATGTTCTGGACTCGTCTATAAATTGTTTGTATTTGTTGAATTGATGCAAAATGTATTTATTATTGACTCTAAGTAGATCTATTTTGTAATGCACCCTATTTTATAGTTTGAACTAGACATAGTTTTTGTTCAATATTTTAGATAAGTGATTCAATATTCCTAATTGACCTACATTTTAGATGCAATGGATTAAAACTAATCCATTATCTTACTATACACAGCTTTTGGTTTATAAATCACTTTGCTCTTCTTAATAGGACTTAGTGTGAACTTTGTCAAACAAAAGGTATTGAACCAATTATAAAGTAGAAAAAAATAACAACAGTCACCTCTTACTCTTTCAAAGCAATTAGTTTTTATGCATTAATTCTAAATACTTTTTTGCATGTTTGCTTCATCAACATTTTCTTAGTATTTCTGATTTGTTACCCGGATTCCCAATATAGTTTCGGTGTTGAATGCTATTCAGGTGTTTATATACTTCATACAGTCATGGCTGCATTAGGAATATTTTTATATGTTATAATTCAGTACTACTTTTCAACATTTTATATTGATTTGAAGTAATGAAAATAATTATATATCATAGACCTTTTTCTGATGTACCATTTGCATAGCCTTAGAATAGATATGATTATATAAAGATCTTATTCAAATCTGCGATACTATTGTTTATCACAATTGATTATAATGGAGAAAATCCTTAGACATACATAATATTTGTCCTAATATTATATTTTGTATTACTTATGCTTAGAGTATATGAGCCTTAACATTTTCAACAAGATATATATAGATTTATAATTGCTTGTGATGTCATTCAGTTTAGTCTGGCTTTTTCTTACACTCTTCACAAATTTTTGGATAATGGATCTCCTGATACAGTGGGATTTTACTTTATCTTAGCAGCAATCCCTTTTGCATATTACTGTGTTATTTAGGTTGGTCATAAAAAGAATAATTACTTTTAAGTGAAAGGAATAAAAAAATTAAGTGATCCTAATTAACATGAATAATTGTATAATTAACTTATCTACATTATTGATAGAAGGGATAATCTCTAGAATTATTTATTATTAGAAGGAATTTTAGTATAGCATATGGAAACATGCCAAAATTAAAATTGTTAATGTTAATATTTAAGTGAATCTAAAACAAAAGATTAAGATGAATTAGTATGGTACAAGTTTATTATCTAAATGATCGACCTATCAATCGCTAGATTCCCAAAAAGTTGTAAATTGCATCTGCTGCAATCATATATATAGAATAGCAAACTAAACAACAAATTCAAATGTTATTATTCACTTTAACACATTAAATAATTAGAGACCTCTTTGAAAGAAGAATTCCAAGCATTTAGAGATTTGCATACACTTGAGGAGATGATGTCAGAGGAGGATTAAAAAGTTGACATTATTATTGATGTTCTTCAAGTTGTTAAATTTCAAAAATATTATGGATAGTTCTAAAATCTCTTAGAAGAATCTGTTAAAAGACATAATGAATTTTGGTGTGAATTACAAGAAAATAATCCAGACATTTAAAAGTTATTTAATTTAGGGGGTTAAATCACTTAATCAGTTGAAGATGTAAAAGTACTATATGACAAATTAATGGATATTAACCCTAATCATATCAATACTTTGAAAATCTTTGGTCAATTTCAAAATGAAGTAATAAATGCAGATAATTTGGGTATAAGAATCTTGGAAAAAGCAACTCAAATAGAAAATGCGTAATAAGCATATTCAAATGAAACATAAACCGAGAAATATGGTGAGAATAGTAACACTTGTATTATGACATGTTCAGCTGAGACTAAATCATTGGGATTGATCCAGAGCTGCAACAAAGAGATAGAAAAATTAGGATATCACAAATATGAATTAATTAACTAATTCATTACTCGTGTGATGCCTAAATGTTATGCAGATAATCATGATAAATTTATGTCCAAGTATTTGGAATCAAATGAAAGTTAAATTGTTGGAAAGGAGAGAACAGTATATTGTCAACATAAAAATGGATCCATTATTCCTTGCTAACTGATGTTCAAAATTCTACCATAATTGAAAAAAGGATTAAGAATGGTGAGTTTCTTTAAAGTTTTGGAGAGTTTTGACTCAAATTATTATATCTTATTTAATCCAACAACTTTCTTGATATATGGCTTGAGCCAGAATTGCTAAGATTCATTTGGCATTCCAGTCAATTTTTCTTATGGCAATAATGCTCATTCCAATGATTTTACAATGGAAACTTTGATACTCGATTTCAATCACTTGGTGGAGAAATTAAAGATTTCACAAGACAATATTCAAACTGCATTTCCTCTGTAATTGGATACAACAAAATTATAAAGACAATTTATTTTGGAAGATTCAGTTGATAGATTATCTTTAATGGAAGAGTAGGAAATAAATAATAATAATAATAATAATAATTAATTGAATTAGAAAGGAACATCAGAGCAGCTGAAATCTTCAGTTAAAAAAGAATCCTTATTCAAAGTCTACAAAATTAGTTGTACAGTTGAGAAACAACAATACACTGACTTAGAAGTAGCTATTTTAAAGTTTACAGAAGCTACTGCATTTTAAGAAGCCTCAAAGAGTGGCAACTATTATTAGAGTGAAATCAAATTGAAATCAAAATAAACTAAGTATTCTTCCTCTGCTACAAGAAAGAAAGCTGATTAATAAGTCAATGATGATTATTTAAATGAGGACAGATCATCAGTTAATTCAGTTTAATCTAGTTTGAATGATGATATGAGAAGATTAAAAGATTTTAAGGCTTTGATGAGTGAGAAGAAGGTGCCAAGAAATATTAGAACAATTTAAATTACTATGTTATCTTTAACATTAATACTATTGACAGTTTCAATTGTTGATTTAGCATTAAAGGGAGTATAAAATGCTTCATTTAAATATTCTTCCTAGATATTGTCAGATGTTTACTGGAGAACTAATTAAATGTCTACTATTACTTTTCATTCTAGAATATTGGAACTGCTGGGGAAAGGAGAGTATAATAATAGTAACGGATTGACAACTTCAACTTTGAGAGAAGATGTAAGCGTATAAATTAATTTTAGTTAATAAGCAGGTTGAAAATTGTATAAAAATTGCAGTTTGATACTCTGAAAGTAAAGAATGATTTAGAGAAATCTAATGTAGAAGTGCCAACTTAATACCATTACAATTTTACCTCCCTTTTAATTGATAATACATATCAAAATACTGAATTGACACTGATCGATTCAATAAGGGAGGCAATTAGTCACGTTATAATTTTGATTGGAACAGATATACAAGATTTTAAGAGTGATGACTACATAACTCCAGCTCAATAATCTTCCTTTTTCATCAATTACAATGGATTAAGAAACATAAGATTAGGATTGGAAGAGCGAACAGAATAATTTTACAATTTTTTTTAAGATTTACTTTCCAATAAATTTAGTACATTCTTAGTGTTGATGATTATTAGTATTATTATCTTGATTATAACTCATGCTATTGTAATACCTATTTTATTAAAAGTAGATAAAGCGAATAATAAAGTATTGAGTATGTTTGGATTAGTATTATATTTATTTATCCTATTAGATCCCACCAATGGAAATCAAGGAGCTATCGGATAAATGTGAAAGGTTCTTAAAAGACTACATCGAAGATTTCAATGAGAAAAAGGAACTTGAGAATAGAATTAATAATAAGAACCAAGAGGAAAATAAAAAGTAATAACAATAACAAGATAAAAATTACATCGAAATGAACAATGAAGAACACATTGATGATAAATAAAAAGAACAAATGGAAAGGTAAAAGGAGTTATAGAGATTGGAAGATTAAGAGAAGGAAAGGTTGAGATTGGAAATGTTGGAAGAAGAAAATAGAAAGAAATAGGAAGAGGAAAATAAATAAAAAAGGCATATGAGACATAAAAAGAAAAAGAAACACAAATATAATATTTAAGAAATAGAATTAACTGAGGATGAAAGAACTAGAATAGAAAAATTAGAAAGATCGAACGAAAAGAATGACTCTTCAGCTCTTATCAAATTCATGCTGTTTTTTATTTTATTTACTGGATTTTTTGTAGCCTAATTAGTGCTTGAAACGACCTATTTAAATAGCGTTAAATTTTTATTTGAACATCTTAAATTATCACATCAAAGATACTACATTATGATGTACAGAGTAGTTTATGGAGTAGAGGATATAATCCAAGAGTAGCCCATTAAAATTGACAATGTTTGGATGCAACAATTATACCATACTCTTATTTATGATGCTGAAAGAGATGTGTTTGAATCCTATAAATCAGTAATACATAATCATCGAAATTATTTTAGTTTCCATTGACAGGCTTCGAGACATATAAATAATATTATGATTGGTTCAACTTTAATGATATGTGTTCAAATATTACATTAATGGAAAATTTGGGTAATGCACTTACAGAAACAGGTTGTCGTTAAGTTTAGAATGGTATATTAGAAAAAGGATTGAGAACTTCAGTAATAAATCTTGCACTCTATTCAAATGATACTTTAAGGATATCTGGTAATAATACAAAATATAGTATAATCAATGGAAATACTTTCTAAATAATAAATGACATTATAAAATATATTCGACCTGCTTTTAATACTCTGAATAATGCTTACATCGCAGATTCAAATTCATATTTTAATAATGCTTAAAGTATCGAAGTTATCAAATTTATTGTGTTGATAATAGCTTGGATCATTTTGTTCTTTATAATATGGATGCCATATTTGACTAAGTTGAGTATTTAGATTTGGATGACAAAAGGAATGATGAATATGATACCTATGTCTATTATTTAAAAGAATGAAAAACTCAAATTCAGATTCTTATAAGATAATATAATGACTATGGTGCAATGAATGTTAATATATTAAATAATCAATGTAGTTAAAAATAAAAAAATAAAATGATATAATTTGTCATCTTTGATTCATGGCTTCTATTTTTCATCTCTGTGCTCTGCACAATTAACCATAAACATGCCTAGCCATAGACATGCCAATCAATAAATATATACATGAAAATATGAACACCTGATCAAAAACTATGAAACTCATCCATAAATTATTGAATATAACAAACATGCATAATATTAAATTCATTCAATTATAAATTCATTTGAATATTTATGATATAACTCTCTTCTTAATGGATACTTTGCTTTTAGTTTGTAAAAGAATTCTCAAAATATAATCACATTCTCAAATATTTCAAAAAAGTCGTTATTCAAAACTCGCCATTTATGATATGCTTTGGTTCAGTTAGCAAAATATCCAGTTCTTAATTCAATCATATAAGTGCCAATCGAATAGTTTTGATTTTGTCACATACCAATTACATATGCTTTATTTCGTACTTAACAATCTCATTTATAAACAACTCCTAATCATAATAAAAGCTCTAATTTATTTTTTACTAAATAATTGCTATGTCTCTATTTTGGCAAAAGCCAACTAAATCAAGTTCTCTTATAAGATGATAATGAACAATTTAATTCAATATTCATTTAAAATGATGAATAATATCGATATAATTTTCTATACTAACTGTTATATTTTCTATACATTCTAAGTTGAAAATATTTAACAGTTTCTAGTCACAAATGTCAAATTCTAATTGATCTCCACTACTAATATTTGCTATCAAAACGCATAAACAAATTGAATTGAATTGGTTAGAATTGTGAATCTAATTAAACATAATCCAAACTTGATTCTGTAATCCATATGATGATTTGTTGCTTTTTAATTATACGCCAGTAATAATCTGATTATAACTTTCAAATTTAGCTAGATGATATCATCTCATTTTGTCTCTCTTAAATTAAATACATTTCAAAAATGTTGTTGACAAAAACATAGAACAAACAATCATGATACAATATATATGTAACAACCTCGATTGACTACTTTAATTAGATTGTTTTGTAAATTTCATAATTTTAGTAAATATTTATTATGAATAGGTTCTCTCCATCCAGAATTATTAATTAATTATCCTATTAAGCTCATGTATTAATCAATATTTCAGATAAGTTTTACGAGATGTAAAACAAAGTTTCACTAACAAAAGTAAATTTTATTCATCATTCATCTCCAACACCTTTTTATAACTTGGTAACAAATTAAAAAATCAATTCATTAACATTAATTTACTATATTATTTTGAATAATTATTTGATATTAATGTGCACTAAAAATTTATTGTGGTTCAAAATTTTTAAAGCGTATAAATAGTGTATTCCTTGAAGTAAAAGCTGGATTTCACTATTGATTTAAATGATAATAATGCAAAAAGTTTTCAAATATTTTTTGCATCTATCAAGCTTATTAGTTTAATATTCATGTATTATTTAACCCAAGCATGATGTGATTTATCAACCTAAACATATGATCAATTCAGGAATTTATTTATAAATTTGTATTTGCAGGAAAGAGTATGTTTCTCCGGTAAACTTATATTATAAAATAATTATCAACAATGATATAATTTAATAATTTACCTAGAAATAAATTGTTTTTCGTCCAAAAATTGATATTGTGACAACCTAAAATCCTAATTTAAAGTAATTCCAAACTTATTTGTTTGAAAGTTAGTTTATCAAAACAATAATTAGTTTGGATTTGGAAAAAAATTCCTTCACAGTCCAACAACATTTATGACTATCTACTGTAAAAAAGTGAAAATTTGCATTTATTCATTTTCATGGTTGATAATTTATTTATAAAAAAGGTAGGAAAAATAAAATAGTCTGTGTTGAGAACAGCTTCTCTAATCACATTAGATAATAAATTATTATGAAATAATTTTGTTATTAAATTGCTTATTAATCAGTTAAATTATGATTATTTTATAATATAAGTTTATCGGAAACACATTCTTTCATACAAACACAAATTTATTAAAAAATTCCTAAATTGATCATGAACTGATTCTAATAGGTTTTCAAAAATTAAAACAAAATCTAAAAAAAAAAGCATCTAAAATAATTCCAAAGTAGTTTGAATATAATTGTAGAGGCTGACATGGATTTCAACGAAAGAAAAGGATGAATACGAATTTACAATCAACGCAACATTGATCATTTAGTTAAATTATACATTAATTATTGAATTTAGCATCAAATTAATTTAAGGTTTGATTTATGGATAAATTTCTATCAATTATTTTGATTCTAATTAACTTATGATCTAAGATNGCTTTGGTTCAGTTAGCAAAATATCCAGTTCTTAATTCAATCATATAAGTGCCAATCGAATAGTTTTGATTTTGTCACATACCAATTACATATGCTTTATTTCGTACTTAACAATCTCATTTATAAACAACTCCTAATCATAATAAAAGCTCTAATTTATTTTTTACTAAATAATTGCTATGTCTCTATTTTGGCAAAAGCCAACTAAATCAAGTTCTCTTATAAGATGATAATGAACAATTTAATTCAATATTCATTTAAAATGATGAATAATATCGATATAATTTTCTATACTAACTGTTATATTTTCTATACATTCTAAGTTGAAAATATTTAACAGTTTCTAGTCACAAATGTCAAATTCTAATTGATCTCCACTACTAATATTTGCTATCAAAACGCATAAACAAATTGAATTGAATTGGTTAGAATTGTGAATCTAATTAAACATAATCCAAACTTGATTCTGTAATCCATATGATGATTTGTTGCTTTTTAATTATACGCCAGTAATAATCTGATTATAACTTTCAAATTTAGCTAGATGATATCATCTCATTTTGTCTCTCTTAAATTAAATACATTTCAAAAATGTTGTTGACAAAAACATAGAACAAACAATCATGATACAATATATATGTAACAACCTCGATTGACTACTTTAATTAGATTGTTTTGTAAATTTCATAATTTTAGTAAATATTTATTATGAATAGGTTCTCTCCATCCAGAATTATTAATTAATTATCCTATTAAGCTCATGTATTAATCAATATTTCAGATAAGTTTTACGAGATGTAAAACAAAGTTTCACTAACAAAAGTAAATTTTATTCATCATTCATCTCCAACACCTTTTTATAACTTGGTAACAAATTAAAAAATCAATTCATTAACATTAATTTACTATATTATTTTGAATAATTATTTGATATTAATGTGCACTAAAAATTTATTGTGGTTCAAAATTTTTAAAGCGTATAAATAGTGTATTCCTTGAAGTAAAAGCTGGATTTCACTATTGATTTAAATGATAATAATGCAAAAAGTTTTCAAATATTTTTTGCATCTATCAAGCTTATTAGTTTAATATTCATGTATTATTTAACCCAAGCATGATGTGATTTATCAACCTAAACATATGATCAATTCAGGAATTTATTTATAAATTTGTATTTGCAGGAAAGAGTATGTTTCTCCGGTAAACTTATATTATAAAATAATTATCAACAATGATATAATTTAATAATTTATATTTATCATAGAAATATACTTTTTTAACATCAATTAAAAATATTGTATTCTTTAGGTCATAATTTTAGTATTGAAAAACCAAAGAACTTTTATTTTAATGGGCTGTAAAGGTCTTGTTGTTTCAGATTTTAATGCGTTTCAAGAAAACGGCTATTTAAATCAGCATATGAATGGAAGCTCAAATATTTGGATTTAAATAATGATTTTTTAATACTATTTAAGAGTAAATCAGTTTATCTATTTTTATAGTACTATGTTATTTTTAATCATAACCGTTAACTTTAAATTATAGAGAGGTTTCATTAACTAATTGATGACTGAATTACAACTTGAATTATTTAGGCATTGTCTAAACTTAATTTTTTTATATTGTCCTAAAAATAAAATTGAGTTAAAGATATTATTGACTTTAATTAAGAAATTAAAATATAAAATTTTTTACGAGTAAATATTTTAGGTATATATATAGAAACAATTAGGAAATGCAGGATGAGAATTTAAATGGCAAGGCAAAATCTTTGTTAATTAATTATATTAATATGTTTTTAATAAAAACAATTTTGTTGTTATTTCCTTTATTAAATCAAGCCGAAAGATTAAATCATTAAGGAGCGAAGCCTTTATATATGAACTGCATGTCGATAAATGAAAGTTTTAAGAATTTAATATATTGTAGGAGATAACGGCTTTGTGGGAAGCTAGTACTTTTATGAATACCTTTCATAATCTGAAAATTTGCTAAATCTTGATAAAATTACGTACACCTTATGGATAAACATATATTAAAAACCTAAATTGACTGGAAGGTAAATTTTGTTTGCTTTTATCGATGGTAACACAAATAATCCTGTAAAGTATTAACTTATATTAGTATCTTAATTTAATGTTGTATTACTAATCATAAGTGGGAAATCATAATCTGACATTAGCGAATTAGAAATAGTCTTCAGATATCCTTAACCTAACAAGGTATAAATTTTATAGATTCAAAGTATACTGATCTTCATTTTGGCAGTTGGTACCATATAGTAGTATCTATAGATTAGAGCACAAGTAATACTTTTATTAATTTGAAATTTTTTTCTACATATGATTAGAACATGAATTCGATTCAAGATACTCTAGTGAATTAAAAGTAAGTAATTTATTTAAAATTAGATTAAAATATAATTTTGGGGTACATTCTAGAATAACAAATGAGTAATTATATAAGTCCTCTACTGATTACAAGGCATGTGTAAAAATTGCTAATTTTTATTATCTCAACGGATGGACCACTATGGATTCAGAAATTTAATTAGATTATGATTTAGAGCTGAAATACTTTTTAAAACCTTATCAACTAAAAGGTCTCAATGTTACAGATTAATTTATGAATGTAAATCTTAGAAAATAGTCCAACCCAATATTTTATAGTGATTCTATTGGATTGCTGTTATTTAAGAATACACAGATAGTGTATACCTTTATGGAAGATCCAGTTTCTTTAACAATGATGTTTTGGATTAAACCATAAAATATAGTATCACTTTTTTAATTTATTTCTTTGACTGATGATGTATTGAAGCAAGTAAGCATAGGTTTTGGAGTCGATTTTGACTATAAATTATAATTTCATTAAAATTATGGTAATTCAGCCATAGGTCCCCTAACTGATAGCACGTGGTCTCATGTGACAGCTGGTGTTTTAGAGCTAAGTTATGATTCTAATTTTATTCCAACAAATAAACAAAAGTTATTACGAGTTTATATTGATAGCTAATAGGTTTAATCGAAAATCATATTGAACTTAATAGCATACAAAAGATTAATATTTGGACCAACAGCCACTGGTAGCTTTGGAGCAGAAATGATTGATATTTAAGACATCAGAATTTTTAAAGGTTGTGGCATTTAAACAGGTTGAGGGGATTGTTTATTATTTGTTGGTGCTTATTGTGCTTTCTGTTCACCTAATACTCATTATTGCAAAGAGCAAGATCCAAATGATGATATAAATATCTATAATTGTCCAGCTGGCTTTAAAGAAACCTAGAATGGTTGTTTTCCTATAGCAATCTAGAATTGTCTTAGACAATAAGGATCAGGTTGTATAAATTGTGCAAATAATTATTATTTATATAACGGATAATGCTATTAGATATAACCTTTACTCTCTCCATATAATTGCTAAAATGATAATGCAATATTTTGCAAAAGAAGCATAACGAGTTCTACAAATAAGATTGAATAGAGCAAACTTTGTAAAACAGATTTTAACAGTTAGAATAATACAGCTTATTGCCAAAAAGATTCACAAAATACTTGTTAATAAGCTCAATTCTATAAAAAATGTTATAAATGCAAAGATGGTTACTATTTAACAGAGTAAAATACCTGTCAACAGACTTGTACTATAAATTACAGATTTTAGTAAAATCAAGTTTGCCAAAAAAAGTGTCCAGGAAAATATTTATATAGATACAGTTGTTCTAATCCAGATTAAGATCCTAAATACTAATGTAATAGTGCGAACTATTGCAATGATAACGAAAAAATATCGGTTATTATTGTCTAAATAGAGTAGAATAAAGTGGTAAGTACTTAAAATGTGAATGGTATGGTCAAATAGAAAAGGATTGCGATTAATCCTGTAAATATTGCTTTGGTGGAAAGGATAATCAATGCTTGGGCTGTTATAATAATTAATTCTTTAGTCCTTATGATACAAAATGTGCTAGCGATTGCAATATTCTTAGCTTATTTAAATAAAATAATAGAGATACAATGGTTTGTGAAATAGAATGCCCACCTCCATATTTAACGTAGGAATTAGAATGTGTGAAGAGTTGTGCAAATGGTTATGCTACTTATAATAATACAATATGTTTAAAATAAACTCAAATTACAGATAATTTCTTAGTTACTTACTATGATTCTTCGCAACCAAAGACTGTATTTACTAATTGTCCTCAAGCTTGTTAAACATGCACAAGTTAAACATATTGTACTAGCTGTCTAAATAATTATATTTTAAACTAAAATAAATGTCCTACAAAATGCTATCCACAATATCTCTATGTTAATCAATATGGTGTGAGCAATTGCTTAACTAGCTGCGATCCAACTGATTTTGTATATGACAACGCTAATATTGACGGATATTAAATTAGACAATGCTTCAAACTTAAATGTGGGTCCATCTAGATTAATAAGTAGTAATAAACTTATTTTCATTAAACCAAACCTTTAACTTGTGTGTATCCATGTGATGATCAATATTATGCTAAATAAAGTACATATTAATGCACTAAATGTGATCCAATTTGTTAAAATTGTTAAAACTCAGCCACTTTTTGCACTAAATGCTGGCCAGACAAGTTTCTTTAAGATAATAATTGTTTTGTTTCTTGCGAATCTAAATTTAAGAATTATAACAATAATTAGTGCGAAGGATCATGCTCTAGCGGATTTACTATTAATGACAAAGTTGCTGGAATTAGTATTCAAGCCTGTGTCAAATTTTGTGGGCATATATTTTCTTAATTCACCTATGTACTCGATACTCAATGCTATTAGACTCCTCCACAAATTGGAGAGTATTGCATAGGCTATTAATGTTATAATTGCTATTATAAATGCAAGACTTGCTCTGGTTCTTTAAGTGATTAATGTTTATCTTGTTATGATTAAACATTTTTCTTAAATAATTAGTGTGTACTAGATTGTAATACTAAGTTTTATGATTTGTTAAATTGGATGTGCGTTGATGTTTGTCCAAACAATGCATTCACAACATCTGGCTATTAATTAATTAATACAAATTATATAAGAGTAATATCTTGTTCCTCCACATGCCTATATAATTAATATTAATATAAGACTTAGTGTACTGATACTTAACCAGAAGGAACTTACTGTAGACAAAAGACAAATTATCAGTTATGTGATAAATGCACAGCTGTATGTAAAGCATGTTTTGATTCGTATTCAACTACTTGTTATGAATGCAATGTAGGTTCATATTTATATGATACTACTTGCTCTACCGAGTGTCCTGATGATATTCCCTATAAAGATACGATTAATAATATGTGCGTTGTTGTTTGCACAAGTTATTAAGAAGATGGATACTGTGTTGAGAGTTGTTCAGATAATTATTACATATATGATGCTGAGTTATAATGTTATTAATTTGGTTGTCCAGAAGGAACATATAACGAAGTTAATACATTTAATTGTTATGCTTGTGCTCTTGGATGTGCTACATGTACTGATGGGTCATCAAATTCATGCATCACTTGCATTGATGGATATTTTCTACAAGGTAAATCAACATGTACGAATGTCTGTAATGTTAATCCAGATATTGTTTAAGATTGGACTAATGGAAGGTGTGCTAAATCGTGTCCTACTGGAACGTATTTGTAAACCTTACCTAGTGGGTATTTAGCATGTAAAGACACTTGTCCTGGATATTATTATTCAAATATTTGTGTTGCAACATGTCCTGCTCAAACTTTTCCTGACGGAATAACTTGTACTTCATGTGCAGGACCATGTAGTGTTTGTTATGGTGAATAAGTTAATCAATGTACAAAATGTGATTCTGGATATTACTTGGCTGATACTACTTGTGTTGAAGTATGTCCAAATACAAAACCTTATGCAAATCTAGCTAATTAAACTTGTGTCTCAACTTGACCAGATTACTTGTATTTAGCTTAAAAAATCTGTTTTAGCCCTTGTCCAAGTTTCTTATCTATTTATCAATTAAGTGGGAAAAAAGAATGCGTTGATTAATGCTATTCTAAATCTTATTTATCTTCAGGATTTTGCTATCCATGCAATTCTAGTTGTAAAGAAATGTATGGGCCTATAAATGGAAATTGTTTATAATGTGAATCCCCTAACTATTTATATTAATAAAAATGCGCCACGACTTGTCCATCATAATTATAAACTGACTTAACAGATAGAACTTGCAAATAATCTTGTCCATCCACTACTGTTATATAAGGTTAGTATTGCAAATCCAGTTGTGATATAAATTATTTTTTGTATGGTTAACTTTGTGTTGCAACATGTCCAACATATACCTACAAATCAACATCTGAAAAAAATTGTATACTTTGCAACTCTCTATGTAGGTCTTGTAATGGACCTTTAGTAAGTTAGTGTAATTCTTGCATAGACAATTGCTTATTAAATGGTAATACTTGCACACAAACTTGCCCTGCTCTATATGATTACGAGGCTTAAAAATGTGTAAGCACTTGTGGTACAAAGTATGAATTAACTGACTTAAAAAGTTGTGTGACAACTTGTCCAACTGGATATCTAAAATGTATTAAAAAATGTTTGAAAACTCCACCTGATGGGTATTATTCAGATGGAGTTAGTTGCATTTAATGCAGTAGCAGATGTACCAAATGCACATCTTCAACTGCATGCTAAGCATGTAGTTAAAATAATTATCTAACATTGTAAACCTGTTAAAATACTTGTACCACTAAATATCTTTATATGGATTCAACAACATAGACATGCGTTACAAAACGTCCACCCTAACTTTACCATTAAGAATCCTATGATAAAAGGATTTGTGTTGAGGATTGCATCGTAGGCTATAAATTTAATGATTAATGTGTAAGTTCTTGTCCAAAAGGAATGTATATTAATAATAAATTCTGTACGAATTGCCCTTAGGCATGCGAAGACTGTACTTCAGCAACAAATTGCAAATCATGTGTGAAAGATTATTTTTTGGAAAATGGACTGTGTTAATTGAGCTGTTTGGTTGGAAAAACTGATTATAAAAACCATACATGTGTCTCATAATGTGATCCATCATTATTTGAATATCAAAATTAATGTTTAGAAAGTTGTCCCACAAATCCAGTATTTTATTATCATTCAAATATCTGTATGGATGCATGTCCAAATAGTACATTCTAGAATAATTAAGAGTGTCTTGATTGTGATGTTTCATGCTCATCATGTATTGGCCCCTGAACAATGATTGTCTAATTTGCAAAGAAACCTATTATTTGCATGACTAATAGTGTATTCTTACTTGTCCTCATTTGTATAATGAAGTAGATAGATCTTGTGTTATTTCTTGTCCTCGAAATCTTCTTTTGGATGGAAATAAGTGTGTTATAATTTGTAGTTAGTACATGTACTCTAATGCCTGTTTGTCAAATTGTCCATTGGGAACATACGATTCAAATTTGATTTGCTATGATTGCTCTTATAATTGTCTTGAATGCGATTCTTTTGGATGTAATAAATGTGCAAATGGATCATTTTTAAATGAAGGAAGTTGTAGTAATTATTGCCCATACTATTATAATATTGTCTTAAATAAATGTGAGTAATAGTGTCCAGAAGGAACATTTCTTTATATTGATCAATGCTATGCATCTTGTCCAGCAAATACATATACATATCTCTAAACATGCATTACAGATTGCCCGTTGAGAACTATTTTAATAGATTCTATTTGCTACTAATGCCCAGAGAGATGTTCAGTTTGTAAAAATAAATATGAATGTCTGAATTGCGATGAACCTTATTACTAATATAAAGGAGAATGTGTTGTGGCATGTCCAACAGCACTTCCCTATTAGAATAAAATTTATTATGTCTGTTAATCAGAATGTTCTCCAAATACATATGAAAAAGGATATGACTGTGTTAAAGAATTTGATTTAATCATCAATTAGAATAAATGTTTAAAACAATATCCCTACGGATATTATGGTAATACTATATGCAAAGTATGTAAATTGGAGTGTAAGGCTTGCACTGATTTTAATATATGCACAGAATGCTCAGACAATTTTTACCTAGAGAATAATTAATGCGATACTTAATGTACGAGAATCAAAGACTTGAAATAAAAGAAATGCGTTGATTCGTGTTCCTTGCTTTTGTATAAAAATGTGTGCTATGAAATTTGTCCTGTAAACACATATTAACATGCAAATACTTGTCTTCAAAAGTGCCCAGATAGATATTTAGTTTGGCAGAATTCAAATGTGAAAAATGTCCTTCTTAATGTATAACATGCACATCTTTTGATGTATGTAATAGTTGTAAAATTGGATATTCCTTATAATAAAAATAATGTTTAGATTAATGTCCCGGCAAATTATTATCAAATCCATTAACTAGTGAATGCTCTTAATCATGTCCAGATAAAACATACATCTTTAAAAATTCATGCTTGTATGAATGTCCAAGTGATTACTTTAATGACACCGAAAGTTAAAAATGTGTTTCATCTTGTAGCAAATAATAATATCTGACTAAAAACAATTGTTATCCCTGTTCATTTGAATGCGATTAATGCACAGCTTATGGAAATAAAAATTGTATAGCCTGTGCAACTAATTTCGTTTTAACCGAAGATGGACATTGTTTTGGAAAATGCAAAGTTGGCTATTATTAAACATCAAATTCTTGTGAGCGATGCTTACATAGATGTCTCTCTTGTTAGAATGGCACAGAATGTTTATAATGCAGAGGAAATAATAGAGATTAACTTGATTGTTCATGTCCCAAAGGATTCTATGATGATCCTTTCTATGACAATTGTTAAAAATGCCCATGTGAGGAATGTACTTCTTAATCTGAGTGTCTAGTATGCAAAAATAATCTCTAAATTCCAAACTGTTCATGTAATAGGAGACTCAATGATGATTGGTGTATTACTTGCCAAGTAGCATCTTTATTCAATACATTTTACAATACTTGTAAGACTATTGAGATTAAACAAATATTGTTGGAAGGGACTGCAAAGAAGATCCAAGAGGTGTTATTTTGGTCTCTTCATGAAATGGATAACGAAGATTATTATTTGTAAATGGATGCATTCTTAGCAGATTAAAAAAGTGAATTCAATATTCCAATAGGTACCCTAGCCTCTAATGCTACATATAAAATAACAGCCAAATATATGAATTTCTTAAACAGGGTAAATTTCACAACATTCACATTCACTACGCTGCCTGACTTAGTTCCTTATGTTTTTCTATAATATAATCCTTTGATAGCAAGGGTTTATGTTTTCGATTGTAAAGTTACATAATTTAATTTGGCCATTCAAATTTCTGATTCCAATAATACAACTTACCTTTCCATACAGCAACCAATTAATCACATTTATGAAGTCCCATTAAATGAATCTCTTTTACCTAAAGAAACCCAGTTACTTTTTATGGCATCAACAGGAAGCTCAATCATTTAAGAAAAGATTTATCTAAAAACAAAAAAAATTGACATTTAATTCCTTCAAAAGAATAGATTTATTGGATTAGACAATTAAATTAATGCAAGAGCTTTCGATAGGAATGTATAAGATGAAGTTTTAAGTACTTTAAATATTGAATATTAATGGTGTTGTAATAATTTATTCAATTTATAACCTTGTAAGACAGAAGAAAATAAGATTATGGAATTTCCATCCAGAAGAATTGCTGACATTTTTGCAGATAGTTAAAATACTACTTTTGTCTTCTTTGTTAAGGCATCGAAAGATAATAGATGGACAGTAAAAGAGCAATTGATAGTTGTCACAGATTTTGAAATCGAGGAAGAATTTGTATTAAATTAAGAAATTCCTCAAAATGCTGTCAATCTTAATGATGAAATAACTATTTTAATTAGAAATAATTAAAAATATGCTTTCATTATTTAAGAATTCAAAATCTTGGCTTCTATCAAAACTATTGGCTCAACTTTAAAGTTTAGACTCGCAAGATTAACAACAAATTATAACAGTCCTGTGTACATATATCTAGTTCCAGGCAATGAATCTATAGTATTTCAGCTAAATCGTCCTCCTTCAAATGTTTAATTCAACATAGATCCTCTTGTAGGTGAATCTTTAGATTACTTTAACTATTCAATCCAAAACTTATCACCTGGAAATACTTTTAGCATTTATTACTATTTCGAGAAACTTATTCTCTAAAATGATATAAATCTATAATCCATTAATTATGGTATGCCTGTGGTAATTAATTCTTAAGAATTTGAAGGTTCCTTTAACTTCCAAATGGAATTATTAATGATGCAATATCTGTTCTGTGTTAAATTGAATCAGCAAAGGGATCAAAGTCTTATTTAGTATAAGATATTCAAGTCAATAGAAAAAATTATCAGTCAAATAAATTGTACGAATCATTCAATAATTAAACTAATTTTTCAAATTTGCAAAGTATTCACACTATGACTAAACGAATGGAAATAGAATAATAATAAGTCTGCTTGAAATAATGCTCAGGTGTTGGTACATGCATCTACAAAAAGTGTAAAATGTCCTTCATAATATTATTTTGATGATTGCAGTGGAACCAGAGAAGAATACAATAATTTTGGCAACCTTATTTTAAAAGCTTTGCAATAATTAATTAAAACTCCAATAAAAAATGATGATGAGTTTAGATTATTTAGCTAATCTTTATTGTATTTATCCACTCTAAAAGATTTAAATAATACAATTTCAAATTCAGATTGCTAAACAATATTAGAATAATACATTTAAAATCTTAATTCAAGATTAGAAAAAATTAACCAATATTCAATTAATCTTTAATATCAGTCTACTGCTTATCTGAATTACTCTCAAATTGACATAAGATCATTGGAAAATTAGAATGATTTACACACAGCCTTAAAGAGCACAGTATTTATGTGGGCTAAAACTTTATTTACTGAAGACTCTGCTGTCTATTAATTGCAAACTCGTTTAAAAAGCTTTTTGTCAGCCATCATAGAATTATCTCTATTTGGTATTGAATAAAATGAATCTATTGATTATTCATTTGATACAGCCTTTTTAAAAATGTAAAGAATTAATAATATATCCAATATCACAAAAGCAAGAATATTAGTTGAATCCACTGAAGATAATTCCAATGATTCAGAATACTATGACGTTGTTTAAGCTATATATATTCGTAATTACTTCGCTTTTGATGGTTACTATCCATACCCCTTACAATTATATCCACTTTACGATTACTAAATACGTCAATAAAATAGAAAATACAATATTTAATTATAGTCTTATATTTCATACAAATTTAAAGTACTTAATGACACTAAAAATCTGGTTTGTTTAATGAGAAATTCTGAGACTTATGAATGGTCAAATGAAAATTGCACAATTCATGAATCCAATACATCCTATTTTTGTAATTGTACAACACTTGCTCCAACAACCATTTGTAATGATTATGACTACCTTTTTTCAAGTTTTCCTTAGTTTAATTGAATATCCCCAATCTGCTATATATTATTTACTTTGCTTAATTAATCATATTAGGAATATTCTTCATGAAGGCAAGGAAGTCTCAGTATGAAAAGTCTATAGATAATAATAAGTTTGGTTAAGTTCTGAAATTAGCAAAGAGTAGTAAAGTAGCAATTGTAGGAAATAAAATTGTTCCTATTGAGAACGAAAAACTAACTGCTTCGATTGAGTCAAAATAAAATTAAAATATATAACGAAGGGCAGATAAGGACAAATTTAGTTTTAATAACTTTTGGGTACTAAATACATTTATCATAGAAATATCATTTTTTAACTTCAATTATATATAAAAAAATTTGTTACTTTAGCTCATTTCAACGTTCTGTTTTGATTGTATTGAGATGGAATCAAGCTATTATAATTGGAGAAGTTTTAAGTCTTCTTGGATTTAATTATGATATTTCTATGTGGATCCTATTATCATCAATCATTTTTAGTAGAATTTTTGAATACATTTTCAAAGTAATTAATTTTTATAATTTAGACTTAAGTCAAATACTTTTTTTATATGAAATAAGTAATAATTCTTTTTATTATTAAATTATTCCTATTCTTGTTAGGTTCGCAACATTTTAATTTGGAATATATTTCTATTTAATGATCTAGAATTAAACAAGTTTGGTATTAGCTACTAATTAATCATTAGATAATTTCATATGACTTTGCCATTTTAATTGATCTACTATTTTTGGATATGATCTTATTTATTGCCAATAAATTTTTTGGATAAGGGAAGAAAAATTAATTAGAAAAAAACTTAGAGAATTTAAATTTATAGCCAAGGCCTAGTGCATCAGTTAATTTTGAAATTATATAAAAATACNGATCATTGGAAAATTAGAATGATTTACACACAGCCTTAAAGAGCACAGTATTTATGTGGGCTAAAACTTTATTTACTGAAGACTCTGCTGTCTATTAATTGCAAACTCGTTTAAAAAGCTTTTTGTCAGCCATCATAGAATTATCTCTATTTGGTATTGAATAAAATGAATCTATTGATTATTCATTTGATACAGCCTTTTTAAAAATGTAAAGAATTAATAATATATCCAATATCACAAAAGCAAGAATATTAGTTGAATCCACTGAAGATAATTCCAATGATTCAGAATACTATGACGTTGTTTAAGCTATATATATTCGTAATTACTTCGCTTTTGATGGTTACTATCCATACCCCTTACAATTATATCCACTTTACGATTACTAAATACGTCAATAAAATAGAAAATACAATATTTAATTATAGTCTTATATTTCATACAAATTTAAAGTACTTAATGACACTAAAAATCTGGTTTGTTTAATGAGAAATTCTGAGACTTATGAATGGTCAAATGAAAATTGCACAATTCATGAATCCAATACATCCTATTTTTGTAATTGTACAACACTTGCTCCAACAACCATTTGTAATGATTATGACTACCTTTTTTCAAGTTTTCCTTAGTTTAATTGAATATCCCCAATCTGCTATATATTATTTACTTTGCTTAATTAATCATATTAGGAATATTCTTCATGAAGGCAAGGAAGTCTCAGTATGAAAAGTCTATAGATAATAATAAGTTTGGTTAAGTTCTGAAATTAGCAAAGAGTAGTAAAGTAGCAATTGTAGGAAATAAAATTGTTCCTATTGAGAACGAAAAACTAACTGCTTCGATTGAGTCAAAATAAAATTAAAATATATAACGAAGGGCAGATAAGGACAAATTTAGTTTTAATAACTTTTGGGTACTAAATACATTTATCATAGAAATATCATTTTTTAACTTCAATTATATATAAAAAAATTTGTTACTTTAGCTCATTTCAACGTTCTGTTTTGATTGTATTGAGATGGAATCAAGCTATTATAATTGGAGAAGTTTTAAGTCTTCTTGGATTTAATTATGATATTTCTATGTGGATCCTATTATCATCAATCATTTTTAGTAGAATTTTTGAATACATTTTCAAAGTAATTAATTTTTATAATTTAGACTTAAGTCAAATACTTTTTTTATATGAAATAAGTAATAATTCTTTTTATTATTAAATTATTCCTATTCTTGTTAGGTTCGCAACATTTTAATTTGGAATATATTTCTATTTAATGATCTAGAATTAAACAAGTTTGGTATTAGCTACTAATTAATCATTAGATAATTTCATATGACTTTGCCATTTTAATTGATCTACTATTTTTGGATATGATCTTATTTATTGCCAATAAATTTTTTGGATAAGGGAAGAAAAATTAATTAGAAAAAAACTTAGAGAATTTAAATTTATAGCCAAGGCCTAGTGCATCAGTTAATTTTGAAATTATATAAAAATACATCCAAGATTTATATCATCATTTAATTTTTGATTTATTATTAAAATTTGTAAATATTTAATTGAAGTCATTTAGTAATAGTATTAATAAAAATTAAATTCACTTTTTATTAAATAATAGTGCTATAACAATAGAGTATTGAAGTATAATCTATGTTTATGTCCAGATATGTACTTGGAAAAATAGTCTGACCCTATGTGCTACAGTAAATAATATAGTTAAGACTAGAATGTTCATATCGTTTGTTCAAGTTGCAGTGTTAAAACAGAGAATTGTACAGCATGTCCTCTCTAATCTTATAGGGATCTCGGAATAGATAATGCATGTTCTTGCCAAACTAATATGTATGAACAACCTAATAATCCAATTTGCATTCGTATATATGTGATTCAAACTAGCCTGTCATTACACTTGCTTTACATGCAATGGAACTGAATCTAATTAATGCACATCCTGTTACACTGAAATTATGAGACAATCGAATGATTCAGGGTCTTGTTTATGCATGAATAAATACTATGATGCTGGAAAGCCTGATTGCTAAGGTATAAATCAAATAAATTTTTAGCGTGCAGTCCACAGTGTTTGAACTGTGCAAACTCTGCCGATAGTTGTACATTGTACATCTTGTAAACCAGATAGATATCTATTCGGGAATACTTGTATTTGTTAAAACAAACGAACTGGTGCCTTCATTAGTATGTATGAAGTATAAGGCAAAGCAGATTGTCAAAGTTATATCTTATTAATTTAACATAGGTTGTCATTATTCTTGCTTAGAATGCAATGGATCTAAATTTAACCAATGTACAAAATGCTTGGCTACTGAAATGAGAGTGTTATCAAATTCTACTTGTCCTTGTTCACCTCATTATTTTGATATTGGCAAACCAATCTGTTAATGTATGATTGCAGTTATAAATATTAGAATGCANATAATTTAGACTTAAGTCAAATACTTTTTTTATATGAAATAAGTAATAATTCTTTTTATTATTAAATTATTCCTATTCTTGTTAGGTTCGCAACATTTTAATTTGGAATATATTTCTATTTAATGATCTAGAATTAAACAAGTTTGGTATTAGCTACTAATTAATCATTAGATAATTTCATATGACTTTGCCATTTTAATTGATCTACTATTTTTGGATATGATCTTATTTATTGCCAATAAATTTTTTGGATAAGGGAAGAAAAATTAATTAGAAAAAAACTTAGAGAATTTAAATTTATAGCCAAGGCCTAGTGCATCAGTTAATTTTGAAATTATATAAAAATACATCCAAGATTTATATCATCATTTAATTTTTGATTTAATATACTTTTAACTGTAATTGTTTAACATGCAACAGTACATATCGGTAAGAAATAATGAAGAAATGCATTTTTTTTAATGGGTATTATGATGAAGGCTAATTACAATGTTCAAGCAATTATTTTGAGTATGAAAAGGGTGCTTTGGTCCAGCTGAAAATAATTGTCTGACATGTGTGAATAGTAACAATAGAGTATTGAAGTATAATCTATGTTTATGTCCAGATATGTACTTGGAAAAATAGTCTGACCCTATGTGCTACAGTAAATAATATAGTTAAGACTAGAATGTTCATATCGTTTGTTCAAGTTGCAGTGTTAAAACAGAGAATTGTACAGCATGTCCTCTCTAATCTTATAGGGATCTCGGAATAGATAATGCATGTTCTTGCCAAACTAATATGTATGAACAACCTAATAATCCAATTTGCATTCGTATATATGTGATTCAAACTAGCCTGTCATTACACTTGCTTTACATGCAATGGAACTGAATCTAATTAATGCACATCCTGTTACACTGAAATTATGAGACAATCGAATGATTCAGGGTCTTGTTTATGCATGAATAAATACTATGATGCTGGAAAGCCTGATTGCTAAGGTATAAATCAAATAAATTTTTAGCGTGCAGTCCACAGTGTTTGAACTGTGCAAACTCTGCCGATAGTTGTACATTGTACATCTTGTAAACCAGATAGATATCTATTCGGGAATACTTGTATTTGTTAAAACAAACGAACTGGTGCCTTCATTAGTATGTATGAAGTATAAGGCAAAGCAGATTGTCAAAGTTATATCTTATTAATTTAACATAGGTTGTCATTATTCTTGTTTAGATTGCAATGGATCTTAATTTAATTAATGTACTAAATGTTTGGATAGTGAGGCTAGAATTTTGTCTAATTCTACTTGTGTTTGTGCCCCATATTATTTTGAGATAACAAATTTGAGAATTTCTTAATTCTAATTTAAATAACAAAAAATGATTTATCGATCATCTGCTATATTGGATAACCATAATGTTAATGTATACTTATAAACCTAAATATTAGAATGCCACTATAGATGTGAAACTTGTGAAAATATACTTACAAATTTTTTAACTTGTGCTACAAACTCTTTTAGAATCTTATCCATTCAACGATGTATTTGTTAAAAGGATACTTTGATAATGGATTTAATCCTATATGCTAAAGTACTTGAGAAAATATTATTTTATAGAATGCCATTATTCTTGTTTTGATTGCTCCTCCTTTTCTATCAAATACAATACCTGTTCATCTACATTCAATAGAGTACTAAATCCATCGATGTTTACTTGTAATTGTATGGAGTCTTATTATGATATAAGGGTTGAGACCTGCTTAAAATGTCATTATTCTTGCTTGACTTGTAATAAATTTGGAAATTAATTTTGTCAAACTTGCAAAGACAAGTCAATTTCTTTTAGGGTCTTTAATTAAGGTGTCTGTCAATGTTTGCCTGGATATTTTGATGATGGAGTTTCTCCTAATTGCCAGAAATGCTTAATTTCCTGTTTGACTTGTTTAAACACTGCAACTAATTGTACATAAATAGTTGTATATGTAATGCAGGCTATTTTGAAATTAACCAAGCAAAATGTGGTAAATGTGATCAAAATTATTTAAACTGCTCAATCAAATCAAAAATGTGTACTGAATGTGATTAATCTTAAATGAGAACTCTAAGTGATATAACTAAAACTTGCATTTGCAAAACTGGAACTACTGAAATAAATGGATAATGCCGATATTGTGATATTACTTGCAATACTTGTTAAAATTCAATTATTAATTGTACATCTTGTAAATTGTTGAGATTATTCGCTAATAATTAATGCAGATGCATAAATGGTACATATGAGAGTGGCAATGATAAATAGTGTTTCTATTGCAATCAAACTTGCCAAACGTGCATCAACCAAGCAAACTATTGTACATCTTGTTCAGAGGATCATTTTTGAAATTTTTTCTTTAGGAAATATTTGTTTATGCAAAGATGGTTATTATGAAGACTCAATCTCTTTAGATTGTAAACCTTGCGATTCATCTTGTTTAACCTGTTATTTCTCTCCTACTTATTGACTAACTTGTAATTCTTTGTACAAACTGAGTCTGAATGTCTATAATAATGTGTTTGTTCAACAGGTTTATATTTTAATTCTGTTAGTTTAAAATGTGAAGGTATAAATTATTAATATTCAGCTTGTAATATAAATTGTTTGGAGTGCAAGTCCTAGTTAGAATGCATAGAGTGTGAACAATTAACTAGACATTTTGATCCAGATAAATTGGAGTGTCCATGCAAAGATGGATATTATGAGGTTAATGCAAAGATTTGTTCATGTAAAAAATTAAGAATACCATTAGTTTGCGATTATTGTTGTAGGACTTGTTAAACTTCACCAACAAAATGCTTATCATGTGAACCCCTATATTTTAGACATTTAAACTCTAATTAATGTATTTGTTTGGAGGGATATTATGACATTGGGATTGAGACTTGTTACCTATGCGACCCAACTTGTTTGACTTGTTAGAAGACTTCAACTTAATGTACTTCTTGTAACTAAACCCAACACTTTAGATCATTAAATCTGAATCAATGTATTTGTTAAAGTGGATATTATGATATTGGTTAATTGGTTTGCCAAAGTAAATTTATGATTAACTTATACAATGCTCCAATTAATGTCTCACTTGTTACAGCCAACAAAGATTTTGTAAAAGTTATGATGTTTAACAATTTAGAATTGATCAATCTAATATTAACAAATGTCCTATCCAACATTTTAGATTAATAATACTTCTACGTAAATCTTAATCTCAATTCTTTAATTAAGTGACAAATTTCACCATTAAAGATTAAAATTATTTATTTTACTATAAAAGATAACATCATGGTCTATTTCAATAAAATTGGTAGAAGATAATTTCTGATCGAGTTAATTTGTGTTAGAATTATGGGTTTTAATTTAAAATTTACTTCTATTTCTATAGAAATTAAATTTCTTAATAGTGAATATTAAAATAAATTTGAAGAATGCCTTTAAGAACTATAATAAGAATTAGTTGTAAGATATTAAAATTAATGATTAGATGTCTTTCAACAGAATAGATGCATTTTTTGATTAACTTCTTTTTATTCCTTGTCCACCTGTTTCTCACAAAAGTGTTAATAATAGTCCAAAATTACTTTAAGTAATATTCCCTTCAATAGAAAACTTTGCTAATTAATTAATTCAAGAAGTGGAATCTATTTTAACCATTCATAGCAAATTCTAATAAAATCAATGATAGTTAACTTAAATTGAGTAATAAAATACAAATAAAAAAGATAATAACGAATAATTATTCACTTATATTCTAATATAAAATCATTCAATTCAATAAAGTGAATAATGTTATGTAATTGCTATTAATTATAATAATTCAATAGTATTAGCTGTGTGTAATAGTAAGATCAAAGTCTTTGAATTTAAATAAGAATAGTTGTAACTAATTCAACTTCTTAGTGAACATACATATGATGTTGCTACTTTAATTTCATGAAGAATTCAGCTCATTTTTATATCTGGCAGTTATTTATAGATTATAATATGGTCTATAGATTAACAAAATTTATGGATCTGCTCATAGAAATTGGTTGAACATTCTAATTACATTAATTGTTTAATTTTGAATCATAATGAAGATCTTATCATCTCAGGAAGTAGAGATCACAAAATAAAATTTTTGGGTTAAACAGAATCAATGGACATGTTAGTAACTATTATAGATCATTAAAATTATGTAATAGGATTAAGTTTGAATGAGAAATAGAATAGAGTGATATCTTGTGGATAGACTTATTTATATTAATAATAGAAGAATCATAATAGAATTAAAAATGGAATGCTATATAAAAGATAGCAGTTGAGCAGAATGGATTTAGAATATGCTTCATCAATGATAATTTATTCACATTCCAACTATATAATCAAGAGTATATGCATGTTTATGAGATGAATAGAACTAATAAAATTACTCAAAGATAAAATAAATTGCTGTGAAAAGTGATTTTAATGATTGTTGCTATTTTTTTGCGTAATAATATGTTAAATCGAAATGCCTATTAGTGAACAAAAATGGAAAAACTGTTAATTTGCTAAGGATAAACTAAAATGGGGATTTTATCACATAATAATCCATTCAATTTGGAGATTAATATATATTCGGATAGATGAGCGAAAACGGAAAATAACTGATGACTTGGGATTCTAATTCTAAGGAAATTTAAATTAGAAAATATTAGCAATTATGAGAAAGAATAAATGAATTATTATTAACAGTAACAATTTTTATTTATAATTATAAATTTTTTATAAAATTATAAACAATTAATAAAAAGAGCATAATTAAATTTTTTGGTTATTAGACTAGTAAAATTTTAGGGAAAAGTGCATAAGATAACTTTAGTCAAAACATAAAGTAAAATAAAATAATTTAAAAAGGATAATGTTGAGAAATCTTATTACAATGTGAGAAATGTGAAAATGGGAGTAAAAATTAAAATCTATGCACTTAAAAGATTCTCATTAAATTTCAACAATTAGAATTAATAAACATAAGGCTGAAGTAGGAGTGCTTTATCCGATCAAAAAAATTAAGAGAATCCATTTTAAAGATTTATTTTAAGGTAAATACAAATATGGCTTAGCTGCATCTATAAATTTCTCCTTTAACTTTTCCTTTATTTAATTTAATATCTTTCTTAATGCATCTTCTGCTACACAAATCCAAGAAATATCCTGAAATAATCCTGAAGAACTACTTTCCTTTATTTAAAAAAAAAATGTTTATTTTTTAATTTCACATTCGGCTATTGTTACTTCCCAAGGAATTGCAATCAATTACTTTCACTTGTAATTGTTAAAGAATACAGTATTAGAATTTATAGAATTCTTACTCTGTTTAAAATTAATCAAATTCCTGTTATTAGTGTTAATTTTGAACTTATCAAGTTAGATTTATAAGAATTCAATTTAATTTCTATCCTGCAAAATCAATATATTAAGATCTCCTTTAATATTATCAAATTGTAGGCTTTTTACTGAATTTCATTGTTATCTTCAGTAAACTCCACTTTCGCTCCAAGAATATTATAATTAAATATGTTAAACTTAATAATTATAAGGGTTAATTGTGAAAATTATAGAAATTGTTTATTTAGTTTTTTGTATTTTATAA